TGTTTTGGTATATCCAGCCCAGTAGTCAGCACTTCTGTGGAATGATTAAAAATTAAATCAAATAGTTGTCAGTAAAAGTTTAAAAAAGAGTCTACTCAAGGGAGACAACAAAGCCAATCTGCCACGGTTTTCTCTATCCAATTAGACAAGGAAAATTAGCTACAAATTGGTCTTTGTAATTTCAAATTATATACATTTTACAGATTTACGAGGTATTGAGGGAAATTAAAGTATATATTCATCATTAAACACCATTTGAATGCATTTAAATAAGTTGGTACGAGTTTACAATGGTATGAATTTACCATGGTACGAGTTAGCAGTGGTACGAGTTTGCATTGGTACGAGTTTTTTTTTAGTGGTACGAGTTGACATTGGTACGAGTTTATAATGGTACGAGATAACTATAATTCCTTTGTACTACCTGGCGAAATATTAACTAGATTTATTCATTACAATCTGGATGGTATCTGGATAAAACTATGTTTGCCTGATTCCATGTATGTTATGTAAATCCAAAGGACAAACAATGAGAGACTTATGCAACAAACGTACATTGTTTGTACATAAATAACTATACTATAGATGAGAGCATGTCATTGTTTTGTTCCTGTTAACATTGTCATTGATATTTTTCAAGAAAGTCTATGAGGCATAGCTTATGCATTCCTGTCATAACTACATTAGCATAATTACTGCTAAAATAATTCTCAGTATGATATACCTCTTGTAAGAAATCATTATAATTGTAGCAATCACCAAAAAATCTCAAACAGATCACATTGAATCGTAATCCAAAAAATTATGACGTCTTGAATTACCCACCCCCTTTTATTCTAAAACGATAATTGCGGTTGTAAACAGACTTTGGTTTATTCGCATGGCGATTACATATATAACTATATATTTCACAAAGAAAATAGAGTTTTACCATGAATAGTTTCCTGCACGTAGTCTTTTTCAGTAAAACGTGCCTTGCAAACAACAGCTGATTGAGATTGACTCCACGATATCATTGTGTTCTCGTCCAATCTGCGTATGGGTCATGGCGTTGATCCAACTTTTCCTTCTTTTTAAGTCATTTGGAAATGCATGTCCTCCTCTTAAATGACATCCAGGTACACAACAACAAGTACTTGGCATCGTTAATTAAAAATATAACTGAAATAGGTGCACAGTGCAGAAACCGGAAGTAGAGGAACAGGATCCGCTACCACGGCGCCATCTATTCAGGAACGATAATTTGCTACTTTATATAACTGCGAAAATAACGTTAGACGGGTTCACGTGCATAAACAGAAATGCGCTTTAAATTGTATAATATAATTCATGTTCAGTCGACCTTTAATTATTATATCAACGACTGAAATGATTAATAAACATCTAGATTGCAGATAACACTCGAAATTAACCCGAGCTCTTTCCACACGGAATTCAAATAATTCTAGTTTGTCAATCGGTTGACTGCTTATAATGCAAAATACTAATATATCAAAAGTTTTTAAAACTAACAAAACACAATGATCGTTTCTCTATTTCCCAATGTAAATGAAATGAAACAAAAAACATTTTATATCGCAATAAGAAGAGGAGAGAATTCAACATTTCCGGAACTACTTGGAGTCTAATGACCCCCCACGTAGATAAGTTGGATATCGCGGAAGGAAGGATTAACCCGGCAACTAGAAAGGCATTAAAGCACTGCCTTTAAAAATGACACTACAAGTCGATATCCAAGTTATTTGTTCTGATTATGACGCCCTCAAGTTGAATATTGTTTTTTACTACCGGGTATATATAAAAAAGAAGATGTGGTATGATTGCCAATGAGACAACTCTCACAAGAGACCAAATGACACAGAAATTAACAACTATAGGTCACCGTACGGCCTTCAACAATGAGCAAAGCCCATACCAGACAGTCAGCTATAAAAGGCCCCGAAATGACAATGTAAAACAATTCAAACGAGAAAACTAACAGCCTAATTTATGTACAAAAAATGAACGAAAAACAAATATGTAACACATAAACAAACGACAACCACTGAATTACAGGCTCCTGACTTGGGACAGGCACATACATACAGAATGTGGCGGGGTTAAACATGTTAGCGGGATCCCAACCCTCCCCTAACCTGGGACAGTGGTGTAACAGTACAACATAAGAACGAACTATAAAAATCAGTTGAAAGAGGCTTAACTCATCAGATGGATAAAATACAAATACTACAAATACAAGTGGACGTGGCCGGGTACTTGTACATCCAAACAACAAAAAGACAGTGGCCGGGTATTTGTACATCCAAACAACAAAAAGACACTAATAAAATTGAGAATGGAAATGGGGAATGTGTCAGAGACAACCAGACCATAGAGCAGTACAGATCTGAGAGTACTCGCAGTTACTGAAAGCTATAGTTCAAAGCCACTAACAACTAATAAAAAAAATCAGGCATCTAAGACTAAATTATCAATCCGTACACATCCATTGTCTGTTAATGAATTGGGAAGGGTCTATTATTTTTAATAAAGAGCTGCCCCATGAGCACATGATATGCCCGTCACTTTTTCGAAGAATAAAGTTCCATAACTCCTCAATATCAGAAATTTATAAAAAAAAAACAACTAATGGGCGGTTATTCTAATAGATGTAAACCATTCACCAAAGTTTCATGAAAACTGCTCAAAGTACTTTTGAGTTATTGTCCGAAAACTGGAAAATCACCCCTTTTTTTATGAATAAAATCCCATAACTTGGAAATGTAGAATCTAAAATTTATAAAAATCGAAAGGGAGCTTATGTCAATAGATATTAACAATTCACCAAAGTTTAACTAAAACTGCTCTAAGCATTTTTGAGTAATTGTCCGAAAACTGAAAAATCCCAATTTTTTAACGAATAAAATCCCAAAACTCAGTAACGTCAAATCTAAAATTTATAATATACAGCTGCGCCATGAGCGCATAATACGCCCGTCTTATTTTCAAAGAATAAAGTTCAATCACTTCTCAATGTCATATCAGAAAATCGAAAGGGAGCTTTTGTCAATAGATTTAAACAATTCACCAAAGTTTCATGAGAACTGCTGAAAGTTATTGTCCGCAAACTGTAAACTGCCCCTTTTTCTAATGAATAAAACCCCATAACTCAGAAACGTAAAATCTAAAATTTATGAAAATGGAAAGGGAGCTCATGTCAAAAGATATAAACAATTCACCAATGTAAAATCTGAAATTTATAAAAAACGAAAGGGAGCTCGTGTCAATAGATATAAACAATTCACCCAAGTTTTATGCAAATTGGTTCTAGTGTTTTTGAGTTAATGTCCGACATGTTGAAGATGGACGGACGGACAGACGGACAACGGTATACCATAATACGTTCAGTAAACAGGCGTATAAAAATTGAAAGGGAGCTCATACAACAGGTATAAACAATTCACCAATTTTAATGCAAATTGGTTAAAGAGTTTTTGAGTTATTGTCCGACATGTTGACGATGGATGGACAGACGGACAGACAACATGGACAAAGGAATACCATAATATGTCCCGTAAACAGGCATATAAAAACTTTTAGGGACATGTGTACATGGATTAATCCATAAATTCGTCTGCAAGATGACCATTTTTACACGGATAAAATATTTTGAAGCCATTTTAATGTTTAAATGTATGAATGGACTAGCGCCAGATTATCTTACTAGTAAATTTACTGCGTGCAGTGATCTATATAGTTATTCTCTTAGGTCAACAACATCTGGACATCTTCATTTACCAAGGCCAAAGTCTGAATACTTCAAAAAGACTTTTCAATATTCCGGTCTAATTATTTGGAATAGTTTGCCAAATGTTATAAAGGATTCAAGTCATATCGAAAGCTTTAAGGTGAAATGTGCTAATCTTTTTTTCACAAAACAAAATGAGTAGACAAACTTTTTTTTTTCTTAGGACATTCTTGCCATGCTAGTTCTACAGTCTGTTTTCATGCTTGTGTATATAAATTTGTAATTGTGTACATCTCTATTGATTATTGTGTTATATGCATTGATTGATATATGTATTAATTGTTCATTTTAACGTGTGAAGGCCTCGTGTGAGATTAACAATTGTATGTTAAATGAGTTACCTTAGTTAAATAAAGAATTTATTATTATTATTTATTGTGGCCCTCTCTTCTCATATAATATGTATGACGTTTATTTTTAAAAGAGCCTCCTCGTTGGGTTTTTGATTATGTGATTACTTGGCCGTTTTTAGTGATTATTTGATTACCAGACCAAATATTTCATGATTATTTGATTATTTGATTATCTTGTTTAAAAAAATAATGAATGATATTATGTAATTACAAGCGTATATTGGCAAAAAATTTGTGATTATGTGATAACCTGGACACCCCCATGAGTGGCCTCTTAAAACCTTCAGGTTTAAAAAATATAAATACATAATGCAATCAATTCACAGCCAATTCCATCTTTTTCTACAATTATACGGTCATCAAACTGGTTTTTACATTTCAGTAAAGGGAAGGCTACCGGGTAGAAATATTTGTTTATTTCCATGGTCAGAGGTCAAGGTCACAAGGCCATTTGTCAGGAATTTAAGTCACAAGTATCATTCTGGGCATCGACTCGTTATAGGCATACACACACAAGAGGTTATATACGCCTCAAGGTATATTTGCTGAGTAGATTGTGGGTTAAGTGGTCATCAGAAAGATGCAGAGCAATTCACATTGATGCATCAAATAGAAGAGATATTGCTATGTTTCCAAAACAACTGTCTTTGGAAATAAAGTACCCAAATCATAATCCCAATCATGTGGTAACATCATTTACAACACCTCAGATCAACTGTTAGCCATATAATTTGAAATGAAAATGAAGAAATCTAACGGAATGCTCGTGATATAGTTCTAGTTAAACATCTCAATGTCATTGGTGAATTATTAAACTATAAAGTAAAGGGTACATTTTGGAGGCATCTGAGGTCAAAATAAACAGACATGTAATTCTTATTAAACAAAGGTTTTACAACATATAGGTATAGTTACTAAGTATATATTACAGAAATAATCATGACAAATCAGACAGAAGTAGTAAATACAATTGCTGGTTTTGAGACTACCCTTTACATTTTACCTGTAGGTTTCATTGTTACTCATTGGTGAAGATAGCTATTGAAAATGTTTATTTGTAGTCCATTGGTATATTTGTATCTTAATAGCTATAATAATTGAAAATTGCACAGAATTATAATAGGCATAAGGCCTGAACATCCCACTGCTTAAACTAGAAGGAGATTTTTTGGTTTACGCCAACAAGAAAGAAACACAATTCATTACAATTTTTTTTTATAATCAAAAGACATCTATAGAGGTCAACATACATGTATATATGACCTTCAATAATACTGTGTTTTGTTTGATTTATTTTTTTTCAATTTGCCAAGGTTTAACTCATGTCAAGTTACGACAGAAGACAATCGGGAACCAGGTGCAAAACTTTTGAGTACTAAAAAAAATATTGTCTTCGTTTGGTACATCTCGTATATATGTACATATTGACAGTAAAATTTAAGCAACAAACAGAAGAGAATCCTTTCAAAAGCATTTAAACTCACATTGTTTTGAGTTTAAACAACAAATTATAGGAATAGTGTTAGACCATAACCTGTGTTCACATTATCAATATTATCAACTCTGTCTGCTTTCTGAAATTGGCACAATTTATTCCTGTCATTTCAAATTTTAATGCCCTTTTCGAAAATCTCTTACTGGTACAATGATTCTACATTTTTTTTTCTTTTGTATAACATGAATAAAAATACATATCCTATTGCATTCTCATCAAAAGACCATTGGTCAATCATTACAATTATCATGAATCTAACTTATCTATGGTGTTATAAAAATAATTGATATCATATCTGGTTTTATTACATATCTGAATAAGACATTGTTTCATCATCATCATCATCATCATCATCAATGCTGGTTATATCTAGGTTTTCCGCAGTTTGTTCTGTTTTGACCGTTTGAGTACCAACAGATAATTTTATTTTCTTGCACTTTGACCTTTCGTGTCTTTGTAGCTGATTCATCTGACAAAATTGTCGATGACATAGGGAGCATGCATGCGGTTTTTCCTTTTTATGAATTCTTTCATGCATCTGTAACTGAATCCGTTGCACAAAACGTTTACTACAAAAAGAACATATGAACTGCTTGTCTCCAGTGTGCGTCTTTATATGTTGACTCAAGGTATTACTCTTATTAAAACATTTACCACATACATCACATCCAAATGGTTTCTCTCCAGTATGAATTCGTTTGTGTGAATTTAAATTACTTCGCTGACTAAAACTTTTTTGACATACATCACACGAATAAGGCTTCTCATTTAAATGTATTCGCTCATGTTTTACAAGTGCCCCACTTTCACAGAACCCTTTGCCACATGTATGGCAAAGGTAAGGTTTAACAGATGTGTGAATCAATAAGTGGCGTCGTAAAACATCTAGACGGCCAAACGCTTTTCCACATCTAACACAGATGTACGCCTTTACACCCATGTGTATTTTAGCATGTTTTGAAAGAGATCCTTTTGTTTTAAACGTCTTATTACAGGTATCACACTTCAATGTTTCATTTGCAGATTTTCTAAAATTTATATTAATAGTTTTTTCTTTCCGAATGTCTTCTTTCCTTTTTCTGGAAAGTTTGTTCTTGCCATTCTTTGTCTGTAAACTGTCTTGCCCTTTGATCTGTTTTGTCCCATCTGAAGTATTTCTTTTACTTTTCCTTTTTCTATACATTCTTGTTTTATTTAACATACTGATTGCAAACAAAGTAAATATAAGGAGATCTTTTGTATCTTGCCGAATTTGATTCAAATGATTAATTATATTGCAGAATCAAGCGTAAAACAATGATGAAGAGGAAACACAACTTTCTCTGAAATGATGATATGAACTGTCCTTTTTGCTTTCTCTAGCTTTTTTCATCAGTTTTTCTGCAAAAGAATTTAACTTCTTCTCTGATCTTTTTTCTGCAACTTGTATATCTTCTTCATAAGTACATGTAGGTATCTTTTACTTTCATATCAAGTCTATTCCTACATGTACTTTTAAATCATCATGCTCATGATTTAAATTTTTCTCATAGCAGTTTGTATGGCACTGAAAAAGACAAAAGAAAACTTGTGAATGCAATGATTTTTATATTCAGACATATTTAACCTTCCATGTTCAGTAGCTGGACTTACAAGTGACTATATCATGGTAAATTGTGAAAGATGATTGATCTACAATGTAACAGAGAGTGGAAGAGAGAACAGGGCTACTGGTCCGTCTATCTGAAAAATTGGTTTAACTCTATTTGCAAGTAATATAAAGATTTTGAAATTATACACAAGTATAAACATGAAAATTTACAGAAAGAAATGGAAAGTCATCACAATTGTCATACATTTTAGGGATCACGAAATTCATCATATTTGCACCAAGCACACAAAAAAAACCTAGTGAAAGACAAAAAGAACCCACATCAGAATTCTAGTCACTTTGGCACCTGGTTAAATCGGCACCCATTTTAGTCAATTCGGTACCTAGTCAAATCGGGACCTGGTTTTTTCGGCACCCTTGGCCATTGTAGGCTATTATTTCAGCACCCACAATTAACATTATGTTTTGCAAGTAAACTATTGGACTGTTCTTCATGCATTTTTTTAATATTTTCACTAGAGGTGTCAACGTATATTTACTGCACTGAACAGAAAGTACCAATGGAAACAAAGAACTACCATAAAATTATTAAAACAACACACGGGTTATTGTTTGTAATTGATATAAGTTCATAAGTTTATAAAGTGATAACCAATCAAAACATTATTAATAGAATATTGAAAAATATTCAAACAGAAAGCCGACTGATTATTTTTTATTGTGTATTCTTCCTGCTTAACTACCATGACTACACATGCTCATGTTTTTAACGATCTACATGATCTGCGAAATGAAGTTTTGAACACAAAAAAAAGATACATACAATAGTGTTCCGTAATTCTGCCTGTCCAGTAAACCTGCCCACTCCCATTTACTTTCTTTATTGTCACTTCCATGAATATTTGATTTTCGTCTGCTATTTTATTCATAGGAACTGTACTTATCATCACTGCATGTCAAATTTTAAAGAAAAATCCTTTATTACCAAAATATCTAGTGATATATAGAATACAGTTCCTAAAGCTAACGATAATCACACTATTACAAAACTCGTTTCTGACTTGAAATTTTTTTTTTTTCGATTGTCTGGAATCCTTTATACTACAGTCAGGGGTACTACTTGTACAAGTAATTTTTATTTACTTGAAGAAGTAAATATTAGTATACTTATATAAGTAAATTTGTAGGATACTTATACAAGTGTATTTTATTTACTTGTATAGGTAAAAAAAAATTGGGCTTAGTTATGTCCCTTAGACATTCAGATTTTTTTACTTCTACAAGTAAAAAAGTCATTCTATCTTCTTTTCTTGAATTCTTAGGACTTCTTTGCTCTAATAGAATTTTTGATTGTCTGTCCTTTGCAGATGTCTTTACTAATCATTTAAGTGTAATTTCATGGACAATGAAAATCTCATTTGTCTGTTATCTTCAGAACACTGCTCATTTACAAGCCCCCAAGGGGCAATTTTTGAAGGCCTTGTGCAAATACTTAAGATATTTGCTCAATCAGTTTTTTGTTGAATTAATGAGATGAAACATTGAACTCTAATCAAAAACTATGAGCTAACCTGAGAAAAATTGTTAAAGGCATGTTTTTACATCTCAAAACTTGAGAATTTTTGTAGGATTGTAAAAAAAATTTACTTATACCAGTAAATATTTGAGAAAATTAAGGGAAGATTATTCAAACATTATAATTAACTTATATAAGTTTATTTTATCTACTTCTTCAAGTAAATAAAGATTACTTGTACAAGTAGTACCCCTGACTGTACTAGCTTTATACATTTTTATGTAAGAGGTCTATCAATAGATCGCCTTTTCCTTTCATAAATATGTGATAAACTGGCCCTCCATACATATTTACTACGCATGGGCGGATTTACCGCACAAACACATTTCCAATATAAACACAGATGACCCAGGGCCACTTGTTTTGTTGATTTTAAAATTTATTTCAGATATTTTTGGGAGAATGAGATAAACTGCATATCCTCAAATTTAATATTTCAGTAAAACTATTTATATTAAATTTGATATAATTTTTATATATTAAAGCAGAAATACATACGATCAAAGCCTTATGCGGGTGGATTAACCGGACTGCATCGTATGTAATAAAAAACGAAATCAAATAATAAGGACAGAAAACGGTAAAAATAATATTAGATGCCAGTTGAATTATCAAATGCCAAAATGACTTTAAACAGGTGTCGATTTGACTAGAGGTCTGACCAGGTGCCGATTTGACTCTTTCCTTAGATGCCAAATTCATGAAATTGACCCGGTGCCGAATTGACTTGTACCCCCTACATAATAATATTAATAGTGTCTCACTCCTTTTACAGAACATCATTACTTTTAAAAGAATGTTGTTGTACGGTTAAGGTTCATCATAACAAATGGACAAATATGGCCGTATTTTCACCTCAAAAACTACTCTGTGTACAGACTTACCTGTACAGTTTGAAAAGTTTTAAGGCCTGGCATCCACTAGATATATAAAAGTTAAAATTATTTTGCATATCAGAAAGATGGTATCTTGTTTGGATTATGATGGGCATTTTTTTTTCGTTCCTGCAGAAGGTGTTAAAATTAACTAAGTTGGGAAACAATTTTGAGATGCTCCCTCTCAGGTAACAACTGGTTTGTATTGTATTAATTATCCTTGATTGGCATGGACAATAGATATCTACACATCTATAGGCGAGTTAAAGGTAGGAATTGAGTGGACCATATCAAATGCAACTCAGGTGTTTGTTTATTTTTACATCTTCTGCAGAAAGGAAAAAAAATGCCCATCAAAATCCAAAAACGATTTTATCTTTCTGATATGCAAAATAAATTTAACTTTTATATATCTAGTGGATGCCAGGCCTTAAAACTTTCCAAACTGCACAGGTAAGTCTGTACACAGAGTAGTTTTTGAGGTGAAAATACGGCCATGTTTGTCCATTTGTTATGATGAACCTTAATGTAAAAATATCGTCATATGTTACTCCAAAAGAAAATTCAATACAAAAGAATATTACTTTTCCAGCTCTGGTGTTCCGGTAAGGTAAGAGCTCAAGGTAAATGTAAACAAAGGCCAAAGGGGGGATAACCGATGGTTTTAGCAAGCATATGCATTTCCCAAATATATTATAATATTTTTCTGCAAATAAAAACAAACTACAGAGGGCATATACATAACAAGACTTCTCTTCAAATAATTATTGAGCGTACAATGATCACTGTAACCCTCAAAATCGGCACAAAATATTGATCCCAAAATTAGAGATGTTTCCTAAGGGGACGACCATTTGATATTCTGGGGGGGGCCAGGAGGATTTGTTTTGGATCGGTTATTTATTTTTGTAAACTAAGAGGACAGATTATCTATTTTCTGCACTATTGAAGCAAGATTTTTCATTTTCATTAAAGCAAGGGACTGATTATTTATTTTCACAACTATATTTATAATATTCGAAAACATACAATTTTTAAATTATTTGTTTATTAAGTCATTATGTACCATTTAATCAGAATTAATTATTATCCTCTGCAGAAATGAATCTTCTATATTCCCCAATGCATATACATGTATTGCATAAATTCACAGTATTAAAGTTTGGTTGTAACTAAGGCTCTTTTAAAAGTATTGGCAAACATGTTTTGCCGAGCGGAGCGAGGCAAAACTTTTTTGAAGGGTTTTTGAACCGCTGAAGGCCCAAGAAGCTATAGAACAAATAATGCAAAATCATGCCTTCTGGGTGTTCCCCAGACCCTTTCTTAAACTGAAAATGCAAGTTCTGTTTTTATAATTTTATGACAATTTTTTGGTCTCAAAGCAAAATCACGTTTTAGATTCAGTGTAAGACTTAAGTTTCTAGGGACAACATCAAAAGACAAATATGCATGATAAAGCAAAAATGTAATTCACATAGTTAAGTCTGTGGCTGCTGTGTTTTTTTAAACTCATGATCAAGTTAATAATAAAATTACTAAATTACAAAATGAATGCAACACTAACAGAATACAGAAGGGCAATCAATGAACAAAAGACAAATAAATAAGAAACATTGATCCCGAAAAATCAGGGGCTACGTCTGAGGGAGAACAGAACTTGTTTCTTGCAAGGCACTCACGGTGAACACAATTTGATATGGAGACAAGCGTTTGGTTTTGAAATTTCCTACATGAGGCATTTGTCTCAATGTAGTTACGGTCCTGATTTAATAAAAGTGAGGTAAGTGTTCCTGAGACAATTAACCTCAAGTTAAATGAAACCAATTTTCTGACATTTCAAGTATATTTAAATAATATTTATACTTTTATTATTAAAAGATATGGGAAGTGTTTCCCGATTTTTTTTTTTGGAAAAGAAGAATCTGGTGCCATCTCATACTTTCGATTAGACCTGCTGAGTTATTTATTTTCAATACATTGCAAGTCAGGTAATTTATTTTCAAACTACCACAGAACAAACCATTTATTTTTGTGATTATCAAGGCTGAGTTATTTATTTTCAAAATCCTCCTGGCCCCCCCCAGAATATCAAATGGTCGTCCCCTAAGTTTGCGGCCATGTTGTTCATAAAAATTTAGTATGTCATTATTTTTTTACCGAAAAAAAAGTCTTTTTTCATTTGAAATCGTTTAGATACGCATCTTAAAAATATTTATGTGTTATTTCAAGGCAATTGCATTACAAGACCTTAATATTCTTGTTCTCGTTTAATCGAGAACTAGATATTTATCCAATCGAAAAGCATGTAACATTTTCGCTTTCGGTGTCTGGTATTTTCATCCAATCAGAGAGAAGCTTTTGCCCGCGTAGAATCAAAGCCACACGACCTCCAAAGGTGAGTATCCTCCAAAAATCCCAATTATAGAAAAATCGGTGGCACCTAGAAATAAAACATCCCCATATTCGTAATCTTCGATGAATTTTAAGGAAGGGGTCATCTATAGTTTTGTAATTTTATCTTCTGTGCTGCGGGAAAAGATCCATGAAAATCATCGAAATGAGGCCTCCATCCCACGCTCCCTGCCATTGTTTTCGTTATATTTTACATTTTCCATGCTGTAAAATAAAATCCCATAATATCATATGTAACTTCAATACACAATTTTAGTGGTTAATCATTTTTCCACGATGAATTTTTGGAATAGAGTGTTCTTTGCATGTTTTTTTCAGTTGACCTATATATTGCCATTGCTTACAAATATGTGCTGTATTCAGGTCATGGAAAACATGAAGTTTTCACTTTTCTCAAAAATGTTATCAAATGTATCCATATACTAGACAACCGCTTCAACAAATTACAAGTAGAGTATTTCTTTTTTAATTTTTTTTAGATTTTAGTGTTCACCATGTCTTCTATGATAACATATCTTATCCTAATGTCTACTTCTCTCCTGTTCAGGTAAGATATGTTTAAAAGAGTATAGAAAACAGTCTCTTTACTGAAGACCATCAAATCAGACACTGTGGACTTCAAATGCCATCCTGACATCATGAACATTAGAATTTAATAAAAAGTTAGTCATGAATATTTTATCACCAAATCTGTAAATACTCTGTCTTATTGTATGCAAACCTCTGGTGACATTCCATTGACGGCAATAAGATGAACTGATGTCTATCTTAATTTTCATGTATAAATTGTAAACTGTCAGTAAAATTACACAAGATAAAGGGAATGTAAGCAGAGAGCATGATTTGCCTTCCAAAAACAATTACTGCACCAGCCCAGATTCTAACCCGGGATCCCTGGCATATTTAACCACCACTCTACCATGTCTATCAGCTAAATAAGTACACCACTAAAACAGCTAATGGAGGGCAGTTATATATCTAGTAGGTAAAGGGAAGCACCACTACACTTCCTCCACCTCAAGAGTCATTATACTATAATGATAAGATCTTGATCCCCTCTCCTGGCTTGGTATTATTGCTTCTACATGTTGTACCTATACCATGTTTTTTTTTTTTTGTTGGGCACCAATTTTGTACATGTAACTAGAGAGCATGATTTGCTTTCCAAAATTAATTTTAAGTACCAGCCAGGATTCAAACCGCGACCTCTGGCACAGTAAGCCAACGCTCTACCAACTGAGTTAAATGAGTATGCCACTGTTATTTTGGTCATTGTTGGTATCTTTCGCCGCTCTTTAGCTAGGACTAAAGTTATTAAAAGCAATATCATGTTGCCATGGATTCCAACAGTTGCCTTGTTATTGGGCTTGTGAGCCAGTGGTTGAGAGCAAAGACGGCTTCTGACTTTTAACTTTAAAGTTTGTCTGTGTTCAAGGATTAAACTTAAAAAAAAAGGATATGGGGTATCCATCCATGTCAAAAATACGTACATGCACAGCAAAAAAAAAAAAAACACCACAAAAAGCAAAGGAACAGCCTTTTATTGCTATACTTCATCTCAAAGTCACAGTTAGTATGAATATTCTGTACTAGAAGGTGTGTCTGGTACACTGAAGAAAACCTTACATTGAAAGTCTGGATCAAAAACCTAGTTCATCTTACAAATGTAGCCATCCCTGTCATGCCTGTGACAAAAATCCTTTCTGCTCTCTGACTTTTCAACTCTATTGAGTTACCAGATGAAATTTGACCTAATTATTCAACACTGCTTTTTTGAAAACATGGAATAAAACTGTATTGATGTTCGTGATCAAAAAGTGAATTGCACTTTGACATGTGCACACCTTTGCATATATACATGTATGGAATAAACCTAATTGCATCACATATTTATTTACATACATATACTGCAGGGCCCTCTGTGATTGCTCCCATCACTATCCTCTTGTTTTTGTTTTGAAGAAACAGCCACATGAAGGATTTTCTGTTTTGATATAATACATGTAATAAGGAAATTTCAAGACTGAGAAATTGTCGTAAATTGTTTTGTTATAAATTAGGGTGTTAGTTTTTCTCGTTTGAATTGTTTCACATTTTTTTATGTCAGGGTCTTTAAAAGCGGACTATACAGAATGGGTTTTTCTCATTGTACAAGGTTGTATTGTTGCCTTTAATTGATTACATCCTCTTCATTTGAACTTGGTGGATAGTTGTCTTATTGGCAATCATACCACATCTCTTTACAACACTAAAAAATAATGAAATAATCATAGAAGCTTTAAAAGAGAGATGGGAACACCTGTTTAGAGACAGGGTATATGTCAAATCGTGACTTCCTATCGAAAACTTAGTTGTCCAACATTAAATTATCTTCCCTATCATCAAATCGTCCCATGCCATAGTTAAATCATCTTCCGCCAATGTCAAATGATCCCAGCCATTGTTGAATAATTATGTAACTGCACTTTAATTGAAAGGTGTAGTCATAATTTGGTTTCGTTTTGCTAGCCATCAACATTTTGTTAGCAAGTATAATCAATTGCATGTAATAGCATTGCCCCATTTGTATTATAATCCAAAGGGTGTTCCTGATTACTGTTTTAAAGCCCTAAGGGATATGCGGCTGACAATCGCTAATCAATTGTACAGGTAGATTGAGACACCTGACCTGACAGGAGAACACTTGATCAACAAGAGAGATGATTAATTGAATTATTTTATTACTTTTAAGCAAATGCTTATGAATATTTAAATAAAAAAATAAAATTTAAATTCAATTACAAAGAAAAAAGTTTGACTAGTCATACATGTCATACAAGTGTGTTTATTGATTTACTCAATCAGCATCCCCCTTTATAAACAAGTACAAGGCTATAATCTTAATCATAAAACAAAACATAACTTCATGCCAAATAACAATAACTTATCGATCATAATGAATCACTTTAGTAGTTTAAAAGTAAATACTCGAATATTTATAACTACAACATGATAATGTGAAGAAATTTCGTATTGTAATTCTGAATTCCTTTCATAGTTTACAATCATATTAATACATCCGGTTTACATTCAGAATCGAAAGATTCATGTTGCATGGTCTGTTAGTGTGGAATTTGCAATTTTAAGTTATTAAAACCATTCCAGTTTTAAACTTCTGCCCTCCACAAATCTGTATTCCACATTATACAAAAACGGATTCAAGATTTCTTCTTGTTCATGCTACAAATCATTGAACCAGGTTTGACTTCTCAATTAAATTTAACACTTCTGTACTGCTACAGGGTAGTTGACAGTGAGAAAAACAATCTCCATTTTATGATCACTTCGATCACTCCATTAACGCCGGTCAACCGGAAATTAAAAATAAGCTGCATCATGGGAACAATGTATGCTGACGTATGACGCGAAAAAAGGAGGAGTTTAAAATTGTTTGTCAACGTGCAATGGAGCACGAAACGTGTTTTCAATGTACACACGTGTTTGAACAGAAGAATTTAGCGAAGGAATGCAGATGAAATCAGAAGATTCACGTGCACGGTGAAATCGATTTAACTATTAGAAATTTTGAAATCAATTTACCATGGTGTTGAACTACATGATGGTTTTGAACAAGAATGTTTTGTTTAGAAGTGCCATAATGTCATACATCCATACAGGGCATCCCGAATAATCCAGTCTTTATATTACGATCACTTCGTTCACTCCATTAATTTGAATTTTCCAAATTTCATAGAATTTTATTGTACTTTTCGGATTGGGTAAATTTGATCAAAAGGGCAAAATTGTGAAGGAAAAAACAAATTTTAATGTATTTTTTTTAGTATTTTACTGAGAAATTAAAATGTAGTCAGTTATTTGTAATGGGGCAAAGTAATTTAGACATCAATGAACATGATGAATAGCTTTTTTTTTAACAAGACATCAATGAATAGCTAGTATTTATATCTTAGTCATCAAAATTTCTTTAAACATGTTTAATGTATTAAATGAGCAGTGGACATAATCAAGAAATGCATCAGAAGAAAAAGGTTGATTATTTCATACTGACAGAAGATACAGAAGCATGAGTAGCAAAATCTCATGTACAAAAAATGTATGGAACTTATAAATAATTTGGTACGCTAGAAATGCTACACAAAACTCATCAGTGGCACATGAATCAAAACAGTAAGAAAGTCGAATCAAATACAAAGTTGAAGAACATAAAAAACAGGGTTTAGTTTAATCCATTAGTTTTTTTTGTTAAATTGAGATACCGTTTTCCAAAAAGCTTTTCTTTCATGATAGAATTTACAATCTTGCCCGCGATCATCATTTAAATGTGCAATTTTGGAAGACGTCTAGGATTTTAACATTTTGGGCCATATGAATCCTAAACCCAAAGAAAGAACCGATTGACTTTTGTGTGCTTGTACAAATGTATATTTTTGACACTTAGTATGTGGGATTGATAACATTTAGAAGAAATCTATACTACTAAAGGAAGAGACTGATTTCATTGAGCCCCAAATCCTCTGAAACCATACAAGTCCGAAATATTTGTGATATCATGTATAAATCTAGTGTTTTGTTCTTCCTAAATTTGTCTTTGAAACACTTGTTTTTCCACATTGAGAAAATATCCAAATTTCGGAGACTGTTATCGATCTTTGTCTTATACACTATCAAGCATGCTCAATCGACGTACTGCACACGAAATCTAACTTATATAGGACAATGGTGTTGATTGAAAATTACGACATTCCAGGCCCAATAGTACCTGTTACCTGTTGCATAATCTGTACTTTCCGGCTGTCACACCTGAACTTTGTCATTATACTGACTAATATCAATGAAAACAATGGCAATCGTATCCCTCAGAGCAATCATGCTCTTTGATTTTTTTTTTGCATTAAAATAAATCGGAATAGTGCCGTAATTTTGATTGTAATCACGGAGTTTGTTCCGGTTTTTATTTATTTCAAAGCATGATCGTAAAAGCACTACTTGTGCACCTGTACACTGTATTGAGAACAAACTTTGAATGACATAGAATAGAAAAACGTCTGCCAAAAGTAAATAATGTCAAAGAGGCTGGCAGAATAAGTTTAAGATAATTCTTAAAACAGAAAAGAAATCTGACAGCAACATATTTATAAATGTATCTAGTGTACCAGTGATGAATAAATTCCCCCCCCCTCCCCCCCCTCATTGTTTTAAAGGCTCGTGAATTTATCTGTATTTATGTCATGCATGTCCAGAATCCTGTTAATCAAACAATCATTACAACCCATAATTTATTTATCTGTAAAAATTGTCTGCCCTGCGGCATATTTCCATTTTGAATTTATCATACATGTAAAACCTAGCCCTTGAAAAACTTTCACTGCGATTATTATAATAAACGCCCTGTCAGGCATTCATGTCTGTATTTGGGCCAACCTTCCAAATTTGTAATATTTTGCTATCCTAATTTGGTACGGATCCTCTATCCTCAAAGCTTATCAGGCTGCGGTGGCTGTGATCGTATGGTAGTTCTTCAAAACTTACATACATGTGAATGAATACTAACCTATCACCTCTAGCTATATATGGGTTTGAGCCTTGGTTGGGCAGTTGCAAAACTAAGGTTATATTTTCATATTGGACATGTTATATGGTTAATGTCAGTTTCCTTCCACAGGTCTGTGGTTTCCGCTGGGTACTTTGGTTTACTACACCAATAAAACTGACGGTCTGACATGAAATTACCCATATGGTGTAGAATGTGACATTAACCCCTATCAAAGAAACCATCAGTTTGTACACACAACAATGCTGCACTGCTTTGGTTTGGACAGTGATCTAGAGTCATCATGGTTTCAATATATAAAGCTTTCAAAAGTAAAAAAAAAAAAATCCCTACCTACCTACCCACCTGCTGATAGTGTGGGTCAGCAATGCCAAACAAACAATTTTTTAAGGGTGGCCTAAACAATAATGTATACTTAGTTCAGCGAAATAGACGCACACTGAACTCGGAAACATGTAAAAGAACCAAAATTAAAAAACACACAAGACTAACAAAGGCTACAGGTTCCTGACTTGGGACAGACACAAAAAATGTGGCTGGGTTAAACATGTTTTGTGAGATCTCAACCCTCTCCTATACCTCTAGCCAATGTGGAATAAACAAACACACAGCAAAAGGACAGTAAAACTCAGTTTAAAAGAAGTCTGAGTCCAATGTTAGAAGATTGAGTTACAGAAGAAACTAAGCAAAATGACAATGATGAACATAAATTAACAAAGGACTACTGGCAGTTACTGACATGCAAGCTCCAGACTTCAATTAAGCTGATTTAAAGATTATGTCTTTATCATATAAAAATCATCGACATTCCCTCCCGTTAGGGGTTTAGTCTCATGCCATTATAAAATATATACAGGAACATAACACTGGAAATAACCTGTATCGTGCCAACAACTGATTTTAGAATAAATGTGTTTATTTCCAATGCAAAGAACCTATGAGCATGATGAGTGAATCAGTATTAATTCCCCATCTCATTTCGACAGAGTTTGATATGATTAACTGAATAGTCAAAATTTCTAAAATGGCGACGGGCCATTAAGTGTTACCCTTGACCATGCGTTTTTCCGTCCATCGGACCCATTTTCATTTTTTTGAAGCTTGAGGGAGGTCATTCGTGTCCTCTGGCACATTCTTTTTTTATATTTATTCTTTTACCTGTATCATTGGCACAAATTACATTTTTTTTGTGCAAATGTAATATGGTTTGTGTCACAAATGAAAGTTTTTTTCTGGCACAAATGAAATGCCAATTGGCAAAAATGCAAAGCACCCTTTGTTATAATAATTAAACTGTTGACACCTGTTACAAGACATTGGTAATCTAGTCACTTATAATTCTATTTGTGTATAAAATATCAAACGTTTTCAAGAAAATATTACTTGATTTATACATGTTGAAATTATTAATATAGCATACCAATAGTATTTCTATATAAAATAAATCTTACAAAAGGAATATAGTTTAGATAATTTCTCCCATCTACCAATTTTTAACAAAAATGAAAATAATAAAAAATTAATCTACTAGCTAGTATTTGGCAGAATTGGTGACCACTTGAGTATTGACCAGGGCAGTATATACTATTAAACCTTGATTCAGTGTTTTCCCCAGAAAAAGAAGCATTCTAACAAAGATGTAATTTTCAAACAACAGGTCATTCTAATTGATAGCAATACCTTACAGAAATTCCTATCTCGTAGGGTCAGAATAAAGAAAAATGATTGCATGTAAACATGCTACATGTATAGTGAGAACACTGCATTCTTCTGTCAACTGTACCTACAGTAATAGAATTTGTAAATGTATTTCTCTCATGTTTTTAAACTATAACCCCAACAGACCTGGCCTATAAATATTTCACTTGGATTTGAATTTAACTTTTCATGCTGAGTGGTCTAATGACAACACAGTTTGTAAAACCTCCTTATGACGACTCCCCCCACGCATTACTCCATCAACACTGTTGATTCAACAGAGGGAGGGGTTAAAAGGAAATTTTCCGTTTTTGTTATAAATTACTTGTAAGTGTATGCTTAAAATCTTTATCCTCATGATCAACTGTTATAAAGAAACAATTACAGAAGATTACTGCTTTCATATTGAAATGGACAGAGTGAACTAAGAAGGTTTCTGTCTAATTACTTTGGTCAGATTAATGCCTTTGTTTGTAAGAAATACAATGTACCAAAATGTTAACACATATATGATTTGTTCTTGACTGATTTTCTCAAGTATCACTTATACATGTAGGTTTCAATTGAAGAAGAAGGGGGGACGGAAGTATACAAGATATACATGATATAAATCCATATGCCAAAAACTAATTTTATTTAACATATTCTGTTTTGAAAAGTTAATGAAAAGCAGGGGAATTTTTCAAATTTTTTTTGCCTTTGTGCCTCACACATCCTATTTTAATAAAAATCAATGTTCTTTTGAAAAGATCTATGTCTCTAATGCATGAATAACTAAGATAGAAAAAGTATTGATTTTTTATCTCCTTCTAAATATAGACTAGTGGTAAACAGCTTTAGGTTAGAGCTAGTGTACTCTTATTGCCTAGGTCATTTGAGTTTAATGTTGCTTTTTTTGCTATTTATCTTCAGATATACATAATTCTGTTATCAATCATTCTTAAAATATGTTGTTTTGTAAATATTTGAAATATTATATTCTTTCACATTTGAATAAATTTTGTATAAAATGTTTACTTCAACAAAGAAAGATATTTGCAAATAAGGGGTGTATTAATTACAATAGGACACAATGTACCGTTTTGACATGTTACATAACATATTGATTATTGCATTGTAAAACTACAAAGATAACAACAAGTAACCATTTAAGTACATTTTTTATTTGTAAATTAAAATAATATCTAAGGTAGATTAATCATGTCATTGATTAAATCATCATGTACCTTAAGAATTACTGAAATAGGTGTTTCTTAAAAAGCTACTTTTAGATTTTTTCTCATGAATTTTATATATTCCTATCTGATATATATATATTTAAACCACGAGGAATACTTAAGAAATAATTCCTTCATGTCATGCTCTATGCTCATTTTAACATGGGTAGGCATTATATTTGTCGATATTTTACTACCTCACATTAGATATGTTCATTTAAGTTGACATGTCACATGGTTTCAATGCATTACAACATTATAAATATAGAGACCTATATAGTATTTTGATCCTTTATAAGCTTTCCAAGTATTAACTGTAATTAAGACAGAAATTATGGAGATTAATGTTACTTCCTAGAAGATTAAAAATAAATGATATACAAACACCTCAAATGTGCATGATGTACTTTGAAAAAGTTTACTACATGTAGCATTCTTCATAGTCCTGTAAAAAAGACCCATTCTCAGTGAGAAACTTTCAAGTCAAGATGATGATCCCACTAACTTTTATTCCCTTATTTTATGTTAAAAACTATCCCAAATGGCATTACGGTTGCCTATAATTGCTTACATCCTCTTCATTTGAACTTGGGTGGATAGTTGTCTCATTGGCAATCATACCACTTCTCCTTATTTTTATATTGAATGGATTTTTTCTAAACACCATGATAAACCTTGATACAAATGGATCTTCAGGTAAGCTCAAATCCCCAATTTTGAAAGCCATCTATGTTTAAGTAGTATATTCAACATGTTCAAAGTTAATTGTTTTATTTCAGATGAAATATACAAGAAACAAGAAAAGAGTTGGAGATTGTTTACTGTCAACGTATCAATGTATAAAAACCTAATACGACGAATCAAGGGGTCTGCATGCCGTCTCTACAATACACAGTGTTGCCATTCTTGGATATGTCTGACAAAAAATCGCCTCCTAGAAAGGTTTGTATTTATGAAGATTTTCTGAAAGTGTTTCTCATTGACGAAGGCTGTACAGTGGCCTATAATTGATTACATCCACTTCATTTGAACTTTGCTGGATAGTTGTCTCATAGGCAATCATGCCACACCTCCTTATTTTTATATAACAGTTATTTTGGTATTTTCAAATTCAAGAGAAGTAAACATGGTAAATGTGAATGGCCAGGTTATTAGTTTATTAATGATATGTGTGTAACCATCTGTTTATTATCAAACCTATCCTTAACAGGATATTGATAGGATTGTTTTGTGTTTGAACAATGCATGTTTATATACAAGCAAACCTAAGTATTATTTACATGTTTATGATTTGCACATGTTGTTGACCCATTGTCACACCTGAGTCAAATTCTCAGTAAATACAGGTGTGTGACAGTGTGGAATAATGACAGGTGTTTTGAAATAAAGCATGTTTACATATAATTCCCTCTATAAGGTCTGCACATCAAAAAGCAAAATTAACTTTTAAAGTTTGGTTCCCTGTACTGCTTATAATTACTTACAACAACAAAAAAGAATATATTTCTATTCAGATATTTATTTAAATTAATTATTCTAAATCTATATATTATTTTTTCTTTTAAATTTTTAAGTTTTCTAGATGAGTTGTTTTTTGTCAGGTTTTTATCTACCAAGGAAGAAGGATGCTCTGATTATTCTGTATATCAGTATATTGTTCATAACTTTACAATGCATGAACTGAACTGTGAATATCAGATTTGTATGAAAGTGCATTGTTCAGGTTGAAAAAATATCAAGAGAAATCACTGAAGGAAAAGTTATCTTCAATTCTGCTTTTTGTCAGCTTTCTGATAGAAACAACTTGGAGAAAAATCTCATTTCACAAAAGTGAAAGGATAAATTTGAAAAAAAAATATGAAAGGGAATAAAGAATGGTGAAGCCATGCCAGCTATGTTAGGAATATGAAAAATAGCATTGTGGTATTAAAAGTATCATATGATACTGTATATCAGCAGTCAGGGACAGGGAACTTACTTAAATGAATGATTTCTAAATCACTGATTCAAGTAACTATTTAAGTAGTACAAATAAATCACTAGACTAAGTGATTGAATTTTATTGTAGCTTTAAATATACAATACTAATGATCCAGGGACTAATTATGTTGCTAAAATTATCAGAACCAACATCTGTGTTGATAGGATGACCGGTCATGTCAGGTGATGACCTTGTACTGAATCTGGGATAATGACATGAAAATCACTTGTTTAAGTATCATACCTCTATTTTCTTCCAAAAAATCACGTCTTGAAAGGGGCACAAGCTACGAGATACATTGTATATAAAAAATCTAAAATATTTTTTTTTGTTCAATCAATAATGAAAGTGAAATAGTGAAAAATTAATTCGCTTTTAGCAGCCAGTATGGTTCAATTTTGTCAAAATAAGCGAAGAAACATTGATAATGTATTATTCACTTGCAAGTGAATAAGTGAATAATTCGACCTCATTAAATCCGTATTCATGTGAACTTCAATTTAACCCCTTAGATAGAGATGAATTGTGTGTGTATAATTATTTAAAGGAAAGGAATGTCAACATTGAAAGTGAAATAAAGGTAAATCATTTAATTGACTATTTCGATCCACAAAAAATCATTCTTATACAGGTAAAAACGATGATTAACATATATTTTTAATCTATAATATGAAATTAAACAGACATAGAAAAATCCAATTACACGAGTTCACTTTGTCTATTTATATCTTTATTTATGTTAATATCACTTATATGGTCATCGGAGGTAATCAGAGGTCAACTCGATAGTTAATTAGATGGCGTCTAGACTAAAATACACACGAAACGATGCTACATATTCTCGAGCCCATGCCCTGTAAATTGTTTATTTTAGACTTTTTATAATTTGGATAAATGTTTTACAGTGATATAAATCAAATATTAGAATTTGAGTCAAATGGGTGAACATGAATTTGACAGCTAGTGCCCCTTTAAGTATTATTATTTTAATTACCCCACTAATTACCCCACTAACACCCTTTAAAATACTCTGTTATACAATCACAAAAATGATCAAAACGTTAGTTTTTAGCTTGCAGCATTGTTCCTAATTAACTTTCTTTGAATGATCTCTGAATTTTGTATATCTTAGTTTGTAGTACTCGTATTAATTTGCTATCGATTCTCTGTCCGTCCGTAAAGTTCATGCTGGTTACATCTTAATACATTACAGTTATTTTCTTAATCAGCGAATATAATACACAGTGAAAATTTAACTTGCCCATTTTGTCATCAAATCGTGAAAAAAGGTGATGTGAAAAATAACTGATATACAGTATACCTGATGAGAGGTTCAAATTAGTAAATTGACCACCTCAGATTTTTCTAGTCCCACCAGTTGAGAGTCTGTTTAGGGCTGGTAGAATTTCATGATTGAATTAAAATCTCTTATATTGTCATACCAGTTATATAGATATTAAGTCCAACAATACAGAAGTGTTAGGACTATACAAGACCAGGTTTACATGTACACATTGAGAAACTTCTGAAAAATAAATCTCATTAATATATAAATATAGATACTAGAACAAACCCGCGACATCATGGGTCCGTGACTGAATTGAAGTACTTATGCCTTATTTTTAGCCTGGATTTTTAGTATTTGTATTGTCATCTGATAAAGTCATGCTGATTGTAAGGTGCACAGTTTTCTCTTGCTTTCAAAATCTTTTTGTTTGAACTGTCCTGGTTTTCTTGCTACAATAAACTTACTAGTATAAACTAAATTTATTTATTTAACTAATTAACCAAAATTAATAATGGTATTGAGGTGCAAGTAAACAGACATGTTGAATAGTGTACTATAGTGTAACATAGATATAAAACAACTACTGGAAGAATTCCAGGTTCTCCTGATAGAGGAGAGATCTCCAGAAGGTAACAGGTAACTACAACCGGAAACTACATGTGACATATACTATTGGCATTGGTATTGGATTCAACCCAGAACTTGTTAATTATTGTAAATATTAATTATGTGGAAAACAAAAGGGCCTGGAATGGTTTAAATTTTAAACACTGTTGTCCTATATTAGTTATATGTAAAGTTGAATTCTTTGATATGTTGTTTTTACATCATGCTGGCTAACAAATTGGACCTTATTATTTAGTAGTATAGATCATGTAGATATAGCATTATTTAAACTATCTGTGTAATTAATGAAAAGTGTCAAATGAGTTCATGGATTAGAAGATTTTTATCTGTGAAATAACCTTTATTTTGTCTGTATGTTGCAGGTGTTCATTAGAACTAACTTCACACTTGACAACTGTTTGAAAGTGTTAATCTGTATTACACAGTTTGCTAAGAGTACTTTTCAGCCAACACAATTTTTTGACGAGACAAATCATATAATTGTTCAAATGAATTAAAGATGTCCGTTTAGATTTCATTTGTTCAAGAAGTTTGTTTTGTTTAAAGGTTTTAATAATAACTGAAATCTTAAGTTTACAAAATGTTTATGAAGTTTACAAATTTTTTCTTGAAGGAGAAGCCTATTTTTGTACGGACACCACAGTCAGAAAACAAATCGCTGAAGAGAAAGATCTTATCATCAGAATCACCCCCACACGACGAAGAAGGTAGGTTTTGCTGGGAAAGTCTGTCCAAAATCATCAATTCTTGCACTTCTTTCTGCTGATGACTATGACTTTTTAGGGTAATTAACCAGAACAAGTTATCACATTTGATAGTCAGATTTAAATATAATTTGTAAATATATGTTGTCAGTACTTAAACTGAAGTAAATATATATGTTGTTAGAAACTAAACTAGTTAAAAATATGTTGTCAGTACCTACACTTAGTAAATATATGTTGTCAGTACCTACACTTAGTAAAAATATGTTGTCAGTACCTACACTTAGTAAATATATGTTGTCAGTACCTACACTTAGTAAATATATGTTGCCAGTTCTTAAACTTTATAAATATATGTTTTCAGCACCTAAACTGAGTAAATATATGTTGGCAGTACTTAAATTAGTTAATACATGTTGTCAGTACCTAAACTAAGTAGATATATGTTGTCAGTACTTAAATTAGTAAATATATGTTGTCAGAAGCTCAACTTAAGTAAATACATATTCATTGATATTGTCAGTATCTAAACAAAGTAATTATATGTTGTCAGTTCCTTAGCTAAGAAAAATATATGTTGTCAGTACTTTTAACTTTGTAAATATATATTGCCAGTACCTGAACTAAGTAAATATATGTTGTCAGTACCTTAACTTTGTAAATATATATTGTCAGTACCTTAACTAAGTAAAAATATGTTGTCAGTACCTAAACTTAGTAAATATATGTTGTCAGTACCTAATCTAAGTAATTGTATGTTGTCAGTACCTAATCTAAGTAATTGTATGTTGTCAGTACCTAAAGTAATTAAATATATGTTGTCAGTCAGCCTGTTCTGATCATTGCTTTGGTTGACCTTAGATTTTATGATTACATTTGTTATTCATTGAAAATAGTTTCTATAAAGATTAAAATTCAACACTAAATGTTGAATATAACTATATGTGATGCAGGCCTGTCTAATTGTTAAAAATACAAAGATATGATGTTAAATCAAATTTATGTAGATCAGAGTTACATTATGATACATGGATTTTGGAGTTAAAATATCAGACTTTTGGACTTGATAATCTTTTAAAGGGGAAATTACAGAACCTCTTGTTGTTTTGGTAATTTCTATCATTTAAATACTCTTGTACATTTTTATTTCAGATAAAAAAGTTACACCAAAGAGAAAGAAGACTTTTAACTCTGACATCTCACCTCCCCAGGGGATTGTCCAGCTACCAAAAACCCCCACCAGTGGGATAACATCACCTCGTACAGGCCCTCTGTCAGAGAGGCAACAGATGTTGATACTAATGCGTATGACAGATGAAAACTCACAAGGTAAAAACAGATTTCTAGGTTAGCCAACAAAAAACTAACTAAAGGTACCAAGGGGGCAATCATAAACTGTTCAGTCAAGGAAAGCCATACAACACCATGGTCAATAGATACCAAGGGGCAATCATAAACTGTTCAGTCAAGGAAAGCCATACAACGCCATGGTCAATAGATACCAAGGGGGCAATCATAAACTGTTCAGTCAAGGAAAGCCATACAACACCATGGTCAAAAGATACCAAGGGGGCAATCATAAACTGTTCAGTCATGGAAAGCCATACAACACCATGGTCAAAAGATACCAAGGGGGCAATCATAAACTGTTCAGTCAAGGAAAGCCATACAACACCATGGTCAAAAGATACCCAAGGGGGCAATCATAAACTGTTCAGTCAAGGAAAGCCATACAACACCATGGTCAATAGATACCAAGGGGGCAATCATAAACTGTTCAGTCAAGGAAAGCCATACAACACCATGGTCAATAGATACCCAAGGGGGCAATCATAAACTGTTCAGTCAAGGAAAGCCATACAACACCATGGTCAATAGATACCCAAGGGGGCAATCATAAACTGTTCAGTCAAGGAAAGCCATACAACACCATGGTCAATAGATACCCAAGGGGGCAATCAAAAACTGTTCAGTCAAGGAAAGCCATACAACACCATGGTCAAAAGATACCAAGGGGGCAATCATAAACTGTTCAGTCAAGGAAAGCCATACAACACCATGGTCAATAGATACCCAAGGGGGCAATCATAAACTGTTCAGTCAAGGAAAGCCATACAACACCATGGTCAAAAGATACCAAGGGGGCAATCATAAACTGTTCAGTCAAGGAAAGCCATACAACACCATGGTCAATAGATACCCAAGGGGGCAATCATAAACTGTTCAGTCAAGGAAAGCCATACAACACCTTGGTCAATAGATACCCAAGGGGGCAATCATAAACTGTTCAGTCAAGGAAAGCCATACAACACCATGGTCAAAAGATACCAAGGGGGCAATCATAAACTGTTCAGTCAAGGAAAGCCATACAACACCATGGTCAATAGATACCCAAGGGGGCAATCATAAACTGTTCAGTCAAGGAAAGCCATACAACACCATGGTCAAAAGATACCAAGGGGGCAATCATAAACTGTTCAGTCAAGGAAAGCCATACAACACCATGGTCAATAGATACCAAGGGGGCAATCATAAACTGTTCAGTCAAGGAAAGCCATACAACACCATGGTCAATAGACACCAAGGGGGCAATCATAAACTGTTCAGTCAAGGAAAGCCATACAACACCATGGTCAAAAGATACCAAGGGGGCAATCATAAACTGTTCAGTCAAGGAAAGCCATACAACACCATGGTCTTGAACAATGCTGTTCTGTTATTTCAAAATCATTTTCTGAATTGATCTTTTGGGCTATGAGACAAACCGTACAAAGGAGCAGTTCCACTGAAAACTTTTTGACTTACGAAATTCAGTGTCACATTATTTTTATTTGAATAAATATGGCTTGTAAGGCCTCTTTTCATGAAAATTTTACTGGCCTGGGCATAGGCCTACTGTTTAATTGCAAAGACTGCTGGATTAGCTACTTTTATAACACAGAGGTATAATAAGAAGAAGCGACCACTTATTGTCATGCTTCAAGTACATGTAGTGATGTCCCAATAAGTTATTTTAATCTTAAAGTATGATGCTAATAAGTGATGTTGTTGTTGAAAACCCTGCCTCTGCTAGTGATGACATATACATGTACTATTGTTCATACATATGTCTTGTATAAAGAAATTGTTGTTTATTCTAAGATAGTTGCAACAACATTAACATTGATATGAACTTCCTCACATAATTCAGACATATTAATATTAAAGATTTCTTGGTATGTAATAAACTGGACCATTACAATCAGTCACATAGGTTTTTGCCCTTTTCAAAAGGAATAGGTTCAATAAAGTCCCAATTTCACCTTTTTTTTCTTGCTAAAATTTAAAAAAAAGATTTATTGACTATTTTCTTATAAATGAATCATAGCTAAAACAATGACTAGATTGGAAAACAGGTCAATTTCCATTGGTTTTTAGGACCGGACAAATAAGATTTTTTGACACACTTACTCATCCAATATATACATGAAAAATCACTTTCTCATCCAGTCTATACATGAGAAAGCACTCACTCGTTCAATCTGTTGACATGAAGTTTGTTATAACAAATAAAATATGTGACTTGAATATTAAGATGGCCAAACCCTGGGTTTTTTGTTTCCTAGGCATAAATGTGGTTGAAATCCAGACCATTTTGTCAACTTTCACTGTTATTGGCCTATTTGGGGTGTTTATGTCAATGCTTTGAATAAAGAAAAGCTTAACAAAAAATATGAGTTGGGTATTCTTAGCGCAACCAGCATGTAGTATTCATTATCTGATATTGAATTTTAGATTCAACAACAAATAAACCAGCCTCTCCACAGCCAAACATCCCTATACCAAAAAGAACGCCTATAGATAAGAAAGTACACAAACGAAATGAGAGAGGAGAGACACCTCTACATATCGCAGCTATTAAAGGAGATGTTAAACAGATAAAGAAACTTATCAAGGCTGGGGCTGATGTTAATGTTGCTGATTTTGCAGGTAAAGGGCTTGTGTAACAAGGGACCTAACATGTATAATATGCATAAGATTTGTTTTTTTGATTCAAGTATTATGAAGAGTGGAGAAATTTAGATGTCACATTTAATAGATGTAGTTATGAATTTTGTTTTTGTCACTTTAAACATGCTTAATACACTATTTTATCATGCTTATATTGACTACTTATGACCAGCAAGCATTTTTTTTTATATTGCTAAAATTCGGTTTTAAATTCTCAAATGGATAAAATACAAAATGCTAATTTTTTAAATTTTTCACAAGTCTATAAAAGTTGTTAACAAATTAAGGAGAAAGTATCAAAGTTATGCCATCAACACCAAATTCTCTGATTAACCAAAAGATTAAGAAATAACAGACAACCAACTTAGAAGCTCCTGACTTTGGACAGGCACATGAACAAGTAGATGTGGTGTGATTGCCAATGAGGCAACTATCCACCAAAGTTCAAATGAAGTGGATGTAAGCAATTATAGGCAATTGTACGGCCTTCAACAATGAGAAAAACCCTAGTCTTTTTAGATCTCAACTCTACCCCTTTGTATGGTGAATTTCTCTGATTTCCTCTTTTTATGTGTAATTTTTTTGTAACATCATACTTAAGATATGAGAAAGTTGCATTGGTTATTATCATGCTCATCATTTGAAATTACATGTACAATTTTACAATTCAGGTTGGACCCCATTACATGAAGCTTGTAATCGAGGATGGGTACAAGTTGCAAAGCAGCTGTTGAAAGCCGGTGCAAATGTTAATGTTCAGGGTCTAGAAAATGACACACCATTACATGATGCTGTTATAAATGCTCATAGTAAAGTAAGTGTCCTGGTCGTGGTATTGCAAATTATTCAAACTGAATATTTTTGTAGATAGCTGGTTCTTGTTGCTGAACTTGAGATCAATTAACATAAATTCAAAAATATTTGATAAGAATGAAACGATTTTATGTAGCAGTTGATAAAATTAAATAGTATTGATTAATAACCAGAAAATTATCCAACAGTTGTCATAGTCTAGTCTGTCTACGGCAAATATTGCATAAATCTAAACAAATTGCAACAAAAATGGTTTCAACGGTTTTACAATACCAAAGCATGACACAATCATATATGAAAAGTCTAGAAAAATCGTACGATCGGAAATCACCATTTTGGGCTAAAAACATTGATTTTAACCAAAAATCGATGAAAATTGTGAAAAAATTTTGAAAATCGAAATTATGGCACTATGTTAGCCAATCAAACGTCAAAAACGAATTCAGATGACAAAAACAACTACAAAGAACATTTCCGATGTAAAATTTACAATCCAGAGTTAGAATTTATTGGTAAAATTATCCCTTTTAATGATAAAATCACAAAAAAAATGCAAAAAAAACCCATATATTTGAGATTCATATATGGCTGTTTTCAAACGTTTTATTTTGAAGGCAGCTTTGAAGGACAACATTTAACACATTTATTTACAATTATTTACGAAGTGAAAAAAGAAAGCAAACGGTTGTTTTAAGGAAAATCTATTTATCTATCAACGAAATTAGTCCAAAATTACCCCCCAAAAAAAATGAAATAAATTTCTACAAAAAATGTATTAATGTTAGATTTGTTATAACATTCATTGAATTAATATAATAAATGGCCTAAACTGTTCAATAATTGATTACTTTGATTTTTACTTGGTTACTTTTGTTTTCACCTAAAAGTATTAGGATGATAAATATAATTTCTGAAAAATTTATCTTTGAAAATATTTGATTTTGTTTTAATTTAACAAAAAACAGACAATTTTGATATAAGTCTTCTTAATGTATAGTTATATGTCTCTGCAATGTACATGCATATTGATGCCTTCACATGTCGTCAAGTTCATCGGCTTCTGTAATGTTACTTGTATTTGAACAATTCATTCCCCGACATTCCCCACATGCTGGGGAACAGTCTATTCCGTGTTTACGACAGGAGCATCGTTTTGTGTCACAGTTCAATTTGCAATTACATCTGATTATCCTTAGAAGCTTTTCGGGAGCCGGTGGTAGTATTGTTCTAATTGGAAGCAATTTATTGTCCTCAACATGCCAACCCCAGTCCTTTGGATCTAATTTATCACCTTTCCCAATCCAAACTTGAGTTTGATGATAAACTCTCATGCAATGTAGCTTAGCAGCGTCAGATGTTGGTGGGAGGGTGTGCACTTGTACATATATATTTCCAACGCAAACTTTGGAGGCGAATATTCTGTAGCGCAGCATATCTAATGTTTCAACATCTTGTAACCCTCCATATAATGCAACAAAGATTTGTTCTCCTGCATTATGAAGGCTCTCGACATTAGACTCCTGGCAAAAGACAGCTGCATGATCTTGTAATTTAATGTTTGTACTAATTTTCTTGAAAACCGTGCCCTTGCCTTGACCAAAAATTCGAGATGTTGTGTCGCATCCGCTAAAGGCGTGAATGAATGGCAAAATATTGCAAACAAGTGGTCCAATTTTTCTCCTTGTCTCTGTTATGTCCCAAATCTTTATTTTGTGAGTGTTTTGCTTGGCTTCTGATTTGAAGTAAATCTTGTTTATAGTATCTTTTGAATGATAACAGAGCAGTATGAGTAGGTCAGTGTCTTCTCCTATGACGGTAGTTGTATGTTGTGCCGACTTTTCTATTGCTGTAAGCACAATCTTTAGATCGGCATCGTCTTCTGCATGGATAACTTGAACATGTCCGTCCTTAAGTTTTTCTCCAAGGGTATTGATAAAGTGCTGTTTATTTTCTGAATTTGAAAGAAATTCATCTTTTTTTGTTTTAATTGGTGTGTCATTGTTAAAATTGACTTTTGGAGATATGATTCCTTTAGTACGTCTGAAATGAGTTACATCTTTTGTAGTTGGAACTGATGGATATCCGTCAAACACAACAGTTGCATCTTTATAGTGATTGCTAACATAATTGACGTAAGTCATACATATGGTGTCAACTGTAGCTCCTTTTGTCCATGGTAAACGGTGTATAAGAGAACCACCATCAAGTACAAAGTGGGTTTCTGTTGGTGCTTTTGGTTTAAGTTCAATCAAATTCCACATATATTCGGCAAGGGTTGATTTTTGGGGTTCTCTTGGAAGGCCCGTGGTTTCAAATATTGATGAAGGAACTCCGCATAATTCAAATTGAAATATCTCTGAAATATCTTCGAAAATACCATGCGCAGCAGTGGTGCATCTCTGAAAAAGGAGCTATGAATCTATTCTGATAGGTTCGCCGTCAAGTTTTGCCTGAACTTTGTTTCCAAGCGTAATGGCTTGTTTCTTTCTCCTAAACGTGTGATCAGCTATATTCTTTCCTACTAGTTCTTGTAGAATGGAAGTCCCAACCTTTTTGGCATCATCTACATTCACGGTTTTATCAGCTACTACTCCTGTCTCAATGTTTCGTAGTGAACGGTCTACCTCTGAATCAGTGAATGGATTCCGACTTTTGAAGAACGTGAGAAGAGTTTGAATGTCGTTAGTGTCCTTTTTTTGTCTTGCATGTGTTTCGTCTTTGTGTTGTTCACTAGAAAAGTATCCTACCCAGGACAAATCCTGCATAGCTTGATTAATCTCAGCACATGCTGGCATGGACATAAGCCAAAGGGAACGCTGGCTTTCGGTCATTCCTCGACCTCTCGTCAATCCACCCGCTGTTTTCACACTTCTCATTAGGACTTGTTCTATAAATAAATCTGAAGATATTCCAGCCCAGTACCTATTGCTGCGTCTTATGACATGATTCCCATTGATAAAATTAGCATACACATCAGGATGGTCTTTGTCTAAAGATTGCATTGTCATTAAGTAAACGTATGCTGTTTTCGTGTACAGATTATGTCCAGATGCAGCCAAAAAGGGCAACATTGCTTGGATGCTTTGCAAATGAAGAGGCCAGTTACCGGTTCTCTCTGCTTTGATAAATTGTCTTAAAACCTGAAGCATTTCTGAATATTGCAGCCACAACTTTGCTGTACGACTTTGCTTTAAAATTTCAGTTTTTCTCCGGACCGTTGTTTCTAGGTTTTTCAAGACGTCCGATTCACCCGCTTCTGAAGCTGACAGCTCTCCAGAGGATAATTGGGAATATAATTCATCAATTTCCTTCATTTCAGTTGTTTCAAGGGTTGAATTGGGTTCTTCCAAAAGTTTAGATACGTCAATATTGAATATCTCTGCAATCAACAAACAATACAGTGCTGTATCCACCAACATGTGACCTCTAAAAGCTCTAGCTACAGCTTTTCCGCTAAGGATATGCGTGACGGCATTCAGAGCGTATATGAGTTCTAACATCTCTTTCAAACCAGTATTACTCATAAGATTCCCTATTGAGCCGAGGAAGCTCATCTCTGTGTGGAATGGTCCTAATCGTAAAACCATAGACTTCAAGGTGCTTCCTGGATTTTCGTTTTCAATAATTGAGAAGGCTTTCCAATACAGAGGTTGATCAAAAGTCAAGATTGCTGTTATGTCATAACGCTTTGCTTGTTTGGCGACGAAGTTCAATGTGGAATAAATACAGGTCATGTCCGAAGCATTTAAATCTATCATAGGCAGGAATGAAACCGATGATTTTCCTGGGTAGTCTCCTGTCTGAACCATCTGCATGAAGCCAGACCACATTGGTATTGGATACTTGAAAGGCCAAACAATAACCGACAGCAGATCAAGACGAAAAGTCTTATCCAGTGTGTTTAAGTTTTTCAACTCAGCATAACTTAATTCAGCCATGCGATCTGATTGAGGTTTGTAATATTTGATCTCTATCTTTGCTAATGCCTTTATTTCATCAGTAGAAAAAGCTATTCTAGGAATGGGTTGTGTTCTCTTCGTACCAGGCGTAATTCCAGCTATTATGCCCATGCCATGAAAAGTGTTGAGGCCGTCTATCGTTCTTGTGTTGTGGTCAACGTTATCTGCTACAAATTGTACAAAGCTGTTGCTTACATCGCCTGGAAGGTCAACTCCTTGTACAGCTGCAGCACTTGATTCAAACTTCTGGACTTCATAGTATGACGAACAAAATCCTAAGCTGTTCAATGTGGACACAAGAAATCGTGAAGCGAAGTTGTGATGCACTTGTACTCCTAGACCGAGTTGAAGCGGTGTAATAAGTGCTCGAGGTCGTGAAGCTTGCATTACTGCTTGTCCTATGGAAGCTATTTTCACTAATGGGTCCTTCTCAGAAAATATAATAGAAAGGAATAACAGCAGGCTTTCGGGTAAGTATGATAAATTTGTATCAACTGATGCAATGTTGGCTGGAGTTGGATAAATAGACTTTGTGGTATCTACAGATCGGATGTCGCTTTTTATCAGTTTGGCAGCTGCTTTGATCAAAGCTCTCTTTTCGTCATCTGGACTTAGATTACTTGGCCTCTGGTAATAGTCCTGAAGAATACAACTCACGGTTTCTCGTAGAGTTACAACACTTTTTTTACCTGGTATATCGGTAATAATGATTTCGTCTCCAAAATGTTGCTTCAATCTTTTCTTCAAATATATCTGGCTATAAGCATTCCCATCACACATCTCGTCCATTTTTTCAACAAGATCTGATATCGAAATCTGTTCGTCGTCATGATGTTTAAGGAAGTCGACTATTTTGTAGAAGCCGTCTTCTTGCAAAGCTGGCCTTCCTCTTTTGTTTTCAGGCTTTGCGTCCGGTGATATTGGAGAACGAAATACAGGAATATTTTTGCACGTGCGGAAGTTTACACTACATGCCTGGTGATAAACAGCATCCGCTGCATGGAGGTCGCTCATGCTCTCAAGTCTTCCGCGAACCTCGGCTGCCCAATCATCATTTCGAAGATCACAAGCATCTTGTATGCTACTCTCAAAATCATCAGTACGAACTGGAAATACATTTTTGTCTTTTTTCTTGGAGTCTGTTGCTTCATTTCCACAGAATAAACAATGATGTTTAAAATCAAAATAAGACTTTGATCGTAATTTTGGAGTGTTTGTATTTGTTTCTCGTAGAACAAGTTTTTCTTTTTTGTATTTCTTTATATCATTTGGATTGGTATATGTTTTCCTGCAGAGTTGATGGACAAAATTACCCTCTAATGCGGACAAACAGTCTCCTCTTTCCTGGCTAGCTCTGATGATTCCAAGACAACCTTTTTGTCGCAATTTGATCAGCGTTGTTGGGTGGTCATCTTTTAGGCACACAATGCATTTCTCCATGGTATAGTTGTAGCTGAAAAGAGTAAGAACACAAATTATTTGTTGATGCATACTTTAATCATTATATGTCATATAACAATACACATTATAATATTATTCGGAACAAGAAGAATTAACAACGTTGACTCTAAATAATAATGTTTTCTTGTTCGTGTGATGTTTCTTTTTTAGTGTGTCTATACACTGTAATTCATTTGTCCATTTCTCAATTTCTTAGGAATTCTAACACTACTGAAGATAATGAATTATTTGAAAAGCGAGAATACCGAAGTGTCAAAAAGGATGACAAGAGAAGTTGAATCAATGGGCTTAAATCGCGTCCGAGAAAACGAAAAAGGACATAAAAACAAACAAGACAAAATATACAAAGTACACACAGAAACGAGCAGCTTGAACTAAGCACAATATTTAACATAAAGCATTTAAAAGTATACTTTGTTCGATGTTTTCCCTACTTGAAAACTTTCGATTGTGTTTTACTGTAGCATATTTCGTACATTTGTTTTGTTAACCATTCATTTTGAATTGACTTATTGATAGAGCAAGATACGCAATCAAATATTTTTGACTCCATTGTGATAAATTATTTTCATGGAAATAAGAAATTCAGAATAATATAATATAGTACCTGATATAGAAATGATCCTTGCGCTAAACAATTAGCACAGTGACTGTGGTTAGGTCCAATAAAATAATGACGCTGAATCGAACATAGGTCACTTCAAGTGATAGCTGAAATAAAGTTACAAAATAGTTTATTTTCGGCAATAATTCATTAAAAAAGGAAGAAAATAATTATTTACAATTCGTTATAGGAAGAAAATGCAATATTAGTTAAGAATAAAGGCTTTGGCTATAGTAATAAGTGCAAAATCCACGAAATTGTAATTATGACTATCCATTTTTGTTAATTTGGCGTTCCATACTTTTTTGTTTTCGTTAGGGACGATTCTTACTATGTTACTTTAAATTATTTTTATTGCTACATTTTGGACTTTTTTAGTTTAAATTTAGTTGATTTTACGTAAAGGTAGTTGATTGTATTTATTTTCTTTGAAATAAACAAACATATAGCGATCTTTGTCGTTTGACCTGCGTCAAGAACTTTTGTACGTCTAATTCATTTCTAGACGCATTTCCGAATATATAAATACACGTAAAACATTAGGGTATGTTAAAAAAACACTTACCAGCATATTTGTATAATAACATAAATTTATGTTAGCGATTCTTTCAGTGATATCATCTACTCAGTAGGTTTCTATAAATTGACATATGTAAGAGTCTTCTCCCCTTGTCGATATGGCGGACCATTTCTGACATGAATCGGTAGGCACATCACCGTTATTTTTATTTTCAATTTTCACCGATTTCCGACCGTACGATTTTGTTAGACTTTTTTAATGTTAATGTGCTATAATAATCTCATATGATATTCAAAAAATCTTTTCTGTTGCAATTTGTTTAGATTGAATCTGTAGACAGACTAGACTATCAGTGATTTAGTTATAAAAGATACAATTATTTCTACCTTCACTAGAAAATTGTCAAAGATTGTCAGCAATTTTGTTGATAAAGATACCATTGGTATTGCCTTCATCAAAAAGTTGTCCGAGTACAGTGTAGTTAACAAGTGACTTTCTGTCCTGTGACTATATCTGTCCATTTACCCAGGTAGGCTTTGGTTTTTATAGTATTATCCAATCAAAATTTCAGTTGACCAGTATTTGCCAGTATTAACCATGTTTACTGTTATTTATTGCCAGCCTTGTCAATACTAGTAATGACTGCTTTTTTGCCAACCATGCTTCAGGTTGAAATTAAATTGATTGAAAACATTGATAGATGATTGCTAAAAAAGTATCTGACAGTTAATTTTTTGGGTCTATCTCAAGCCTTGTCAAATGAATAGGTTTCAAACTGCTATATAGTTTTTGTATAAAAAATAAGTAATATTTTCTTTTTATAGCTTGTGGAATTACTGTTGAAACATGGAGCTAATCCACTTCAACAGAACAGTACAGGGAAGTCTCCGGTTGACTTGGCTAGCTCTGTTGATATGGGCAAGTTACTGAGGAAGGAGATTATTACATCAAGTAGTGATAGTTCCAGTTTGGATGATATGCGATCACCTGCCTCACCTGAAAGTATTTCCTCGTTAAAAGAGGAGGATTTCAGGAACTCTGATAATGAAGAAAGAGGTATAAGATTTATACTTTTATGTTTAATGTAAGAACACAGAAAAAAAACATATTCAAGTAATTCCTTCATTTAAAAGATTGGATATGGGTAAAATGCTCATGAAACAATAAATATATCAAAACACATGTTTAGTTTAAACATATTTTATTTGCTAAATTAAAGAAAAATGGATGAGACACAAGTAAATCATACTTATTAAGTCTTCTCCATAATACAATATGAATAATTTAAATATCTGATAATATTACGAGCATGCATGTATAAAAGCAAGCAGTTTAATAGATATTATATGCATGTAAAGTAAACAGTTTATTGGATCTTGTACAAGCTATATATATTAAAAAAAAGGGAAGAAGCAAAGATTGAGAAGTAATATAATTCTGTGATGATGACTTAGGTGTTGAGTGTTGATGATGATGTTGACAATGAGGATGGTACGGGCCAGTATCAATAACACTTTATGAAGAATAGAAATAATATAAGACATGTCTGACATCATCAGATCTAGAGGCTTTATTAATAATCAAAGTGAGAAAGTTACATTATAAATTTGTTAATATATTTAATACCAGAAAGGAAAAGAAAATTATAAATATTTTACCTGACCTTTGGGTTTTTAATGTTTTAAAGGTTATTTGCGTAACTACTGTTGTGACACCTGCCTAGTGAAAATTTACAAGTTATCACAGTCTTGCACACGTTTATTACACTTTTGCCTATATAGAATTATTTCGAGAATTTGTGAAAAGGCCTTGCGGTCATTAAACTTTCGAGCACGATTTTCGTACTCAGACTCAGAAATCAACCAATCAAATTCCTGTATTTGGTGTTTCGAGCACAAATTTTGTACTCCGAGTACTGAGTAAAGTTTTATGACCGAGAGCCCAGATGTCTTAGATTTTAAAGATGAAAAATGATCAAAGTAGCCCTAGTAACATTTATGAAAGATTTTTTTTTCATTATTTTTCCATTAATGTTATAATAATATATGTTATATTATAATTATAAGTGAACATTCCTCACAATCATTTTTTTAAAGATTTTAAAAAATAAAGCAAAGACAAAATGGTAAGAATTTTGAATTATTTAAAAACATTGCTGAATTAGAGGAAACTATGTCAGTTATCTTATACATTTAATTGGAAACTATTCAAGGAATTTGAAGAAAAGTCAGTCAGGGGTACTACTTGTACAAGTAATGTTTATTTACTTGAAGAAGTAAATAAAATATACTTATATAAGTTAATTATAATGTTTGAATAATCTCCCCTTAATTTTCTCAAAAATTTACTTGTATAAGTAATTTTTTTTTACAATCCCACAAGTATTCTCAAGTTTTGAGATGTAATAACATGTCTTTAACAATTTTTCTCAGTTTAGCTCATAATTTTTGATTAGAGTCCAATGTTTCATCTCATTAATTCAAGAAAGAAACTGATTGCACAAAGATCTTAAGTATTTGCGCAAGGGCTTAAAAAATTGCCCCTTGGGGGCTTGTAAATGAGCAGTGTTCTGAAGATAACAGACAAATGAGATTTTCATTGTCCATGAAAGTACACTTAAATGATTAGTAAAGACATCTGCAAAGGACAGACAATTAAAAATTCTATTAGAGCAAAGAAGTCCTAAGAATTCAAGAAAAGAAGAAAGGATGACTTTTTTACTTGTATAAGTAAAAAATTCTGAATGTGTAAGGGACATAACTAAGCCCAAATTTGGTTTACCTATACAACATGTACAAGTAAATAAAATACACTTGTATATTTAAAGTATCCTACAAATTTACTTATATAAGTATATTGATATTTACTTCTTCAAGTAAATAAAAATTACTTGTACAAGTAGTACCCCTGACTGAAAGTGTAGCATAGAAATAAAGAAGCTACACTGTTTTATTTAATCTTTAATTGATTAGAGAATGTCAAATTTTGAAATGTTGAAAGAGTATTTTTAGGTTACATGGCAAAAAGAGAAGTTGTGAGCTTTTTCTGTCATTTCACTTTTTCCAAAATCTTCTCTGATATGACAGGACAAGTGGAATCAATTAGGTTCACAATTATCCTTATGGTATCTAGTTCAATATTTTATATGTAATTTTCATGCCAACCAACTAACATGGCTTCTTTTACTATAAATAGACCTAGAAAAGGTAAATCTGACAGACAACAAATTTTTTTTCTAAGATTATGGATCAAAATGATAGCAGACTTTATGGTCTTCATCACCAAAATCAAAAAAAAAAAAAAAGAAGCAGACACAAAAATCTGTTTTTTTTGGAAATTACAAATCCATCATAAAGATCACAACTCTTGACAGCTCAGCACTGATGGTGTACCGTCATTTTTTAAATGTCATTTCTGAATCTTTAGGTTTTATTACAGTTTTAGGATGTAAAGTTTGAAAGTGATAAATTAAATGTCCATCTATGTTAATCAACACTATTTCTTTAATCTTTATTTGAGAATCTCCTTCAGATAGTCTGTGTGAAGGGACTCTTGAGCTAATTTTTGTTTTATCTGAATGGAGTTCCAAAGGTCTTTTTTTCCTGCATTCTTATAGATTTCCAATTGGTGCAAACTTGATGTTGTATGTTTGTTTTTGAATACTATTATAAGTTATATGGTTCGCTACTGACCCCCTACGGATCCATAGAGGTTAGTAAAATCCATAGGGGGTGAGGCAGAAGGCCGAATCTATGGATTTTATTCACCCTCTATGGTCCGTAGGGGGTCAGTAGTGAACCCCATAACGAATTTATCACATGGGACTTTTTCTGCTGCGTTTTGTAGAAACATAAACAATGAAACACGACAACATTAATAGATGACGTCACCATTAACAGTAGACGTGACGTCATGAACCCCCTATGAAATTTACTAACCCCCTACGGATCCATAGGGGGTCACCACGTGACGGCGTTAAACCAATCACAACGTGAAAATTTACCTGCGGTGCGATAAAATTGAATTACTGCCCCTCCAACTTGGAAGTCAATTAATTAATATAAAATGATAACTGTGTGTACACTCATGATTTATGCAATACATGTGTGCACAAGAAATTTTAATGATAAACTAAAGGAAAAAGAAAATGTATAAATAATACAAAACTCCACCCTAAGAGGCAGTATAGTATTTAACACACATATTAACTTAATAAAAGGGTATTAGACACCCTCCAATAGTTCAGATTTTGAAGTCCCATTTATGTTTTTATGAAACAGCCATTATGTTTGTTTGTGAATATAATCATAATTTGAGTTTTCATAGTAACACTATTAAAAATAAAACTCTTATATCTGACAGATCTGATCACATCAAGGCTAGCTAAATCTGATGGCACTTTTGGTTTTGGAAGTTCACAGGGACCAAGCAGTCGCAGGATGTTAATTCCAAAGACACAGGAATCCCCAAGACTATTTTTAAAATTTCACAGAGAAACAGGGGATGAAGTAAGTGACAAACAAAAGGAAGTGACATCATACAGTGTTATTATGGGAATGAGTGACAAGAGATCTTTTTCTCCAGCTGATAGTAATGTGTCAAGTGTGGATAGTGACCTTTATGACCCTCATCTGGAGGCAAAAAGTAACAATACAAAAACATGTCAAGTTGAAAATGAAAGTGATATTTCATCAACAAATGTGCTAACAAAAAATAATGTGACGTCATCTGTGATTAACCCTAATATGGAATTTCAAAATTTTGAACGGCTTGATAATTTAGAACCAGACAGTCAAAGCATGGATTCCTCTAGGAAGTTTTTTACATCAGAGATGCCAAAAGAGGACTTGGAGTCATTTACTGCGCAAGGAAATATGAGTGATTCAGACGTTAAAAGTAATAGTGATAAATGGGATTACATTCCAAGTGTTGTTGATTCAACTCATACTCGATTAAAAGAAGATAAATTATACAGTCAAAATTCATCAAATCATAGAACGTTGTCTTCATCAATATCTCAGTCTGTTACAACTAATTCGGTGAATAGTTTAACTTCAGTTGTACCTTTTTCTTCAACAGAACGGACTAGTACAAGTAACAATTTACAATGTTTCTCAAATTTTCCTCGACGAAATAGTATTTCTAGTAATGTTGTCTCCTCAAATGTTGGACCTAGTAATGGGGCTTCTGGTGATAATAGCTCTGAATCATTAGTGACAACCAGTGGATTGAAGTGGGAATTGAGGTCTGCTTCTTCACCTCGTGTTGAAGACGATAGTAATTTATCTGGGAAGTCTGAAAGTGATAGGGTGTCGTCACCTGTACGGTTAGACAAAGACATAAGAAATTCACCAAGAAGTGATAAAGAGAAAGACAGTCGCTCTTGCTCACCAAAAGTTCCACCATTAAAAATTATTATTCCACAAAAAAGTTCATCCTCATCTTCTAGTGAATCAGAATCATTAAAAATTCATGTGTCAAAGGCAGCTTTGCCATATGTGTTAAATCCAGGGGAAACAACTCAAGTGTCGACTGCTGCTGGTGCCCCTGTGTCTTCACTTTTAGCACAGGAATCACTGCGACCATCCAGCCCAGCATCATCACGACCATCCTCAAGGGCAAGTAACACAGCCTCTGTATCAAAAGAAAATGAAAAAGTTATAAAAGAGGAAGAAGACAGACTGACAGATGATACACTTGGAAAAGTAGAAATGACAGAAGAGGAAAAGGAATCAGCAAAATGTAAGGAAGAGGAGAAAAAAGATGAAGCAAATCAAAAGTCTACACGGACCTTGAGGTCACATACAAAAGAAATACAGAAGCAACAGGAAAAACCAAAAGAGAAGGAGAAGGAAAAAGTTGACAAAGAAAAGGATAAAGAAAGAGAGAAAGAAAAACTCTGTAAGTATCTTATGTAGGTTTGATTTAACAAACCAATAAGCTATAGACATGATAGAAATGTATAAAAAAGTGTTGGTTTGGTGGATCAACAAGATTCTACACATTCATTAACATACATTCTGTTGTTCTTAGCGCCAAAGTAAGGGCAACACCTTTATTTATAGAGCTACACAACAAACAAAATGTAAAGGTTTTAGTGTATACTAAAATATTTATCTGATTTGGAATTTGGTTTAATATCATGATTATCAGTCCCCATGAACAGACAGAATTTATGACAACCTTTTTAGCAGTATTTTTTAAAGAGCACACATGACGTCAATGCTGTTAAAGAAAAAACTAATTAGCACATGAGGCAGTGTTCCCTCCAAGGCCATTAACCAACATGGCACAACGATGCTTAACTATCTAAATAGATTTAATAGTAGAATGTTTTCTGCACAAATAGTAGCATGAGTAGAGTGCATACATGTACATACTTGTAGAGTTGATTATATAAAATATCAGACAATTGTTATCATGGTTATTATGGAAGAAATAGACATTTCATCTGCTTGTTGTTGTTTTTTGCTAAACTGCAATATTACATGTCTGTCACTATAACCGTCATAAAAATTCGTTGTTAATAACACTTTCAAAATAAGTCAGTGTAAATGTTCTCAATAAATGATGAAGGGTCAACTAACAAATTTATGTAAGTCTGGTTTATATATATTACAATGAAAAATGTACTTGTTACTGATCATGAGGATTCATTGATTTTCGCGGGTTCCAATTTTCATGGATTGAGGAAGTATGTATTTGTGTATATTTGATTGTGTAGATTTGCCCAACTCTACATACAAGGATACAAGGATACAAGCTTAAGTCTACAATAAGTAAATTGATACTTCTTAAAACATTTAAATTCATGCATGATAATCAAAATTGACAACAACACTTCAACTGGTCTGCAATTTGATTATTATTTAAGTGTTGCATTCACTTGCATTATTTGACAACTTGGCATACCAAGCCAAGGTATCCACTTCATGAACTCTACCGAAAGAATTCACACAGGCGTTGGTTCACCAGATGGAGTTTAATTTAAATTCATGGTTTATTATACCCGAAAATCCACAAAAGTTGGTACCCATCAAATAATATTAATGAATCCACAGTATATTAGACTTTCATCTCCATGATCATTTGTTTTCTTTATTTGGTTTTGATCCCGCATTGTTTCATGAGATTTCCTCAGAGACTACTAATTTTTTCTTAAATACAATGTACATGTATTTTTGCTTTCACTAGTCAATTCTTTATATATCATGTATATAATTAATATCCAAGGAACCTTGTCAGCATTGGGCATGTCTTCTTAAAAATTTGTGTTATACAAAATTCCTCAAAGAAACAGCCCTCAACTTCAGCATGTAACCATGGTAACTGTCATGACTGTTAAAATATGTATTATTTCTGTAAACATGGTAAAAACAACCAAACTAACATGTGTGTAATGGTGAAGATTTCAATGGTGTACTCACACTGAAACAACAAATAGCTAAATCATGGACTGAGAAATGGCAAATTTGGCAGCACTTATTATTATTATTATATCATGTATATATTGTTATTACAGCTTATATCATCTTAAGGCCAAACAATTCAGGAGAGATATATTGCTGATTTTACCTTTATTTGACACAATCAATTTTCATATGCATTATTGAAATATATACCTCTATGACTCACTTTTTGAGGTATTACTGCTTGATTTTAGCCTGTTTGATGTAAAAACACAAATTTTCCTATATGAATGCCTAGTTGAAAAAATAGCAAAACTCTCATATATGACATGTATGAAAAGAGATATTTTCACCGGTTTTTGTAAACTGTTCCGTTGTGCATTACCTTTCAATGTTGTTTCCAAGTTGAAGGTCAAATAAGATAAAATTGTTGTGAAATTATTCATTTATAGGCTACAGAAAACCACACAGCTTGCTTGCCATTACAAGTGCATGCCAAAAAAATAAACCGCAATTATGACAAAACATTCTCAAAGCAGTACACTATTGAATCAAAAAGAAATTAAATGGGGGTTCACATCATTGTGTAAGCATTTCCACCATATACCATAACATTATACAAATCTCTGACATTTGTTGAATGTTTATGGCAAAAAGGTAGCCAGGTGTTTAGTTAAATCAAGCTTTACATGTATGTTACACAGTAGATTTTACATACATTGTACATGTACTTCCATAAGCAGCATATCTGTATTCCTTTGAGACTGCATTCAAATTCATGCAACTGATTTGATGACGTCTTGTATATTTTCCTAAGTAATTTAGATGGATCTATATTTTTAACAAAGGCGCCTCAAAAAAAGCATTAAGCTTGGCATGTTATTATCTGCCCTTGTTATTGTATTGTTTACCCTTATTAAAGACAAAATATGATGACTTCTGTATTTTTTCTGTCTAAATCTATAGAAAACATTCACTATACATTTTGCTATAAAGATAAGAAGATGTGTTATGATTGCCTATGAGACAATTATCCACCAGGGTCCAAATGACGTAGATGTTAGCAGCTATAGGTCACCATATGGATATGGTCTTTAAAAATGAGAAAGCTACATGTATAAAAGGAAATCACATGACAAAATGTAAACCATTGGAAAGAGAAACCATCTGACCGAGTTAAAACCTGTGTATTCTTATTTCATAAATATACACAAAATATAGATTAAAGAGTAGTAAAGAATAAGATCCCAAGAACATGAAGAACAAGCATTACAAGTTTTATAATAAAAAATAATACAATGTATATATATATAAAATGTAGGATTTCTAGTAGTACAACATGTACAATGTAATATGTCAGTCAGATTTTGAGGCTTCAATCAGCTTTTTTATTCATAGGTATTGTACATGTATGTAATAATAACCTTATAGAGGGGAGCACATTTTGATGGTGATCCTCTTCACACAAAAATGGAATGATTGACAAATAGGAATTATATCAATACTGTAAATTCAGAAACTATTGTGAGGTTTTTATTAATGCGAGTCATGTGACTTATAGAGTATCACAATAATATATGATACATATATCTGTATGCAGATTTTCATGAAATTGCAATAATTAATCTCTCATTTTTGTCCATTCTTCAAACATCGCAATAATAAATGCACACAATCATGACAATAATTTCTGAATTGACAGTAAATTAATATGCTGTTCATTTTCTTCATTTTTATACGACCGCAAAAAAATTTTTGTGGTCGTATATTGGTATGACGTTGGCGTCGTCGTCGTCCGGCGTCGTCGTCGTCCGGCGTCGTCGTCGTCGTCCGGCGTCGTCTGGCGTCGTCCGAAGACACATTGGTTTTCGCACTCTAACTTTAGTTTAAGTGAATGGATCTTTATGAAATTTTACCACAAGGTTCAATACCACAAAAGGAAGGTTGGGATTGATTTTGGGGGTTATGGTAATAACAGTAAAGGAATTAGGGGCCAAAAAGGGGCCAAAAATAAGCATTTTTGTAACTTCCTGACATAACTTGTGTGTTAGTGTATGGATCTCTCTGACATTGTACCACAAGGTTCCATATCACTAAAGGAATGCTGGGATTGATTTTGGGGATAATTGCCTCCAAATTTTAGGAATTAGGGGCCAAAAAAGGGGCAAAAAACAAGCATTTTTCTAGTTTCATGACAATAACTTGTGTGTAAGTGTATGGATCTTTCTGAAATTGTACAAAAGGTTCCATATCACAAAGGGAAAGCTGGGTTTGAGTTTGGGGGTAATTGCCCTAAACGTATAGGAATTTGGGGCCAAAAAGGGGCCAAAAAACACATTTTTTTCTAGTTTCCAGACAATAACTTGTGTTCAAGTGTATGGATCTCTCTGAAATTGTACTGCAAGGTACCATACCACAAAGGGAAGGCTGGGATTGAGTTTGGGGGTGATGAATCATAATGGGGGTTCAAAAAATTTTGGGGGGGGATTTATTTTTTTTTTCCTTTTTTTTCTTTTTTTCCTTTTTTGTTTCTTTTAAAATTTTCCATTTTAAGTTGGTTATTTCTGATTTATATTTAAAATCAAATAATAATGATATGGTAGGAGATACACACCAAACAGGATGTGTAAATTATTATATAATAAGTATTGTGCAATAGCAAGAAATTTTCAATTGCACAGTATTGCACAATAGCAAGAAATCTTCAATTGCACAGTATTGCGCAATAGCAAGAAATCTTCAATTGCACAGTATTGCGCAATAGCAAGAAATATCCAATAGCACAATATTGCGCAATAGCAAGAAATTGTCAATTGTACAGTATTGCGCAATAGCAAGAAATATATAATAGCACAGGATTGTGCAAAAGAAGATACTTCCTATAAATTGCTTATTTCTTGACCAATTTCAATGGGGTTTTATTCTTGATTTCATGGGGTTCTTTAATATGCTGAATCTAACCGTGTATTTAGTTTTTGGATTTTGGGCCCCGTTTTTAAATTGGTCCACATTGAGGTCCAAAGGGTCCAAAATTAAACTTTTTTGTTTGATTTCATCAAAAATTGAATTATTGGGGTTCTTTGATATGCCGAATCTAACTGTGTATTTAGATTCTTAAATTTTGGTTCCGTTTTCAAATTGGTCTACATTAAGGTCCAAAGGGTCCAAAATTAAACTTAGTTTGATTTTAACAAAAATTGAATTCTTAGGGTTCTTTGATATGCTGAATCTAAACATGTATTTAGATTTTTGATTATGGGCCCAGTTTTCAAGTTGGTCCAAATCGGGGTCCAAAATTAAACTTTGTTTGATTTCAACAAAAATTGAATATATGGGGTTCTTTGATATGCTGAATCTAACCATGTATTTAGATTTTTTATTTTTGGGCCCCGTTATAAACTTTGTCCACATTGAGGTCAAAAGGGTCCAAAATTAAACTTTGTTTGATTTCATCAAAAATTGAATTATTGGGTTTCTTTGATATGCTGAATCTAACTGTGTATTTAGATTCTTAATTTTTGGTTCCGTTTTCAAATTGGTCTACATTAAGGTCCAAAAGGTCCAAAATTAAACTTAGTTTGATTTTAACAAAAATTGAATTCTTAGGGTTCTTTGATATGCTGAATCTAAACATGTATTTAGATTTTTGATTATGGGCCCAGTTTTCAAGTTGGTCCAAATCGGGGTCCAAAATTAAACTTTGTTTGATTTCAACAAAAATTGAATATATGGGGTTCTTTGATATGCTGAATCTAACCATGTATTTAGATTTTTGATTTTTGGGCCCCGTTATCAACTTTGTCCACATTGAGGTCAAAAGGGTCCAAAATTAAACTTTGTTTGATTTCATCAAAAATTGAATTCTTGGGGTTCTTTGATATGCTGAATCTAACCATGTATTTAGATTTTGGATATTGGACCATAATAGGTGAATGTCCAATTTAAAATTTTTAAGTTCTTAGACCACATTCAATCTGTGTTAGAAACCTATGCTGTGTCAAATATTTAATCACAATCCAAATCCAAAGCTGTATCAAGCTTGAATGTTGTGTCCATACTTCCCCCAACTGTTCAGGGTTCGACCTCTGCGGTCGTATCAAGCTGCGCCCTGCGGAGCATTTTATTGTTGTTACTGTAAAGTTCTTTAAGTTGGTTTTTGGGAGTTCAATACAGGTCAGATAAGTGTATAAAAAGGGCAAGATATTAAATGATTAGAGAATTCATGCTGCCAGACAAGCCTAACATACAGTGAACGTTTCAGCAGTTGATTTGTTACTGCTCTTACTTGCCAGGCAGGCAAACAGTACTATCCAAATTATCCTTCAATCAGTTATTCTTAAACAGTAAAAAAATAAGGAGGCTTGTTTGTAGAATCTATTATCAATATAAAAATAAGAAGATGTGGTAAGATTGCCATTGAGACAACTCTCCACCAGACACCAAATGACTTAGAAGTTAACATTTATGGGTCATTGTACATGTATGGCCTTCAACAAAGTGCAACCCACATACTGGATAGTATTTATAGCTATAAAAAGCCCTGAAATGGCCAATCAACATGGCTAAAATTAGAACATAGGGGTAAACATGGTAAAATGAAAGTTTTGTCTATTATTTTGAAAACTGCATACATGTACATGGAGAAAATATGACAGCCAGAAATATTCAGCATGTTTAGAATGTTGATATCTACCTACTGTCTATTTGGGTTTAATCAACAATCTTTCATGTTTTACACACATACATTCTATAATCTTAAAATTTGCTTTCTTTCAGCAATTATAAATTCAGATCAGTCCATGAGAGACGATGTATCAGTTTCATCAAAGACGGCAAAAGGTGATGAGGATGATACACAGTCTTCAGTGCAGCTGCGGAAACGTAATTTGCGACCGAAAATTGAACCAACAGAACCTCCTGTTCCAACTTTACCTCCAGTTACTTATGAAAAACCACCTAATCCATATGAAACATACCTGGCTATCAGAAGACAGGTAAATATTGGGGTCATGCCTGAAAAACTACCTGATACATGTGAAACATATCTGGCTATCAGAAGACGTAAAAATTAGGGTCATGCATAAAAAAAACACCTAATCCATATGAAACATACCTGGCTATCAGAAGACAGGTAAATATTAAGGTCATGCCCGAAAAACCACCTAATCCATATGAAACATACTTGGCTATATCCTGCATATCAGGCACATTCCTTTTAACAAGGTTGTACCAGTAGTCATGTTTGGAAGAAAATTCCTACACTACACATGCACTATAGCCTACAGATTTAAGATACATCTTTCATCGTCAGTTGCTTTTATCAAAATTAAGCTTGGTTGAATTTTTGTTGTACTTGAGGTTTTAGTTTGCATCGACCAATTGCAGCAATGTAAACTTATCAAAGGAATTCACAGTTAATATCACTGAAAGTTCCAGGTTGCAGCAATTCTGTTAATCTCTGTGCCCCTGCTCTGAGAGGAAGGGGAGTATTCTGATTTACGTACATGTGTGTATCTCCATCCAACCGATGAAACTTTTATTACACTTTTCTCTGGAACTGCAAGGCAGAGCTTCCTGAAATTAAGTAGTAAGCTTCATATGAGCATGTTGTGTGACACTTTCACATTCATATAAATAATCAACTTCCTGTCTTCTGAATACTTGTATATTCTTACAGATTATTAAGTACAATTCGGGGTTTTCCAAAATTGGGAATCAACCTTCATGTGAGCATGCTTTTATACATCCATCACTCATCAACTTCCTATTTACATAATACTTATAGCATAGGTATCAGTAGTGAGCAATAGCTCACAGTTCAACTTGTTCTTTGCAGACTTACATTAAGTGCCAATCTGCCTAAGAATCAGGCAGTGGTGAAAATATGACAAACAAAAACCCACTCAAGTTTACATTGTTTTTTGTTCAAAATGTATTATGGTGCGCAAATATAGCTTTCGTTTCCTTTTCCTGTTCTGGTAATTCAAGATATAATTTGGTTGAAATGCATTAGAAATTAACAATTAAGGGGAGCTGACTCCGTAATTTGCTATCATTCTAACCAAAATTTATCTAAAGATTTCTCAAATTACCAGACACACAGAAACAAAAGACCTACCATTTCTAACTCAGGATGAGGGTAACTTCAAAATAGGATGGTTAGGTCGGTGGGTTTTTTTCGGCCATGTTTTGAATTTTTACAAAATTGCCTGATTCTTACAAAGACTTACATAAATGTATAAAACAACCATTCTGACTTTATCATTATGATTGTGTATTATTATTTCTTACAGAAGATTATATTTCAACAGAAGAGTTTATCAGTTGTACAACCAAAGCCACCACAAGGTTTTAAAGATTATCTTTTAGTGAACTGTAGTTACGTTCTTCAGGGGAATTCAGCCAGTACTCTTTCTGTACCAATGGTGGGTATATCTTATTACCAAAAGTTCCAAACATCTATTTAATAGTTTCAGGATGTTTTAAAATGAATGAATGAATGAATGAATGAATGAATATTCTCATAAAACAAAATGTTACAGAGACCATATACATATTAATATACAAATATGTAGTGCATGTGTGAATTAAATTTATGTACAACAAACACTAGTCATTCTAACCTGGAGAAATGACCTTCTCCTGGACGTTCTTAATAAATTTACACAGTTTAATACGGTTACAGTGTTTGAAGAAAATAGTTGTTCAAACTTATAAATGTTTTCTTTTTCATGACAAAATTGGGGAAGCAGATTTTTTCTAGCACAATTATAGATCTAAATTGTAATACATTTTGAATTGTAATTTGTACATGTGTTATATTAACTATGTAACATTTCTAACAAACTTAAGACTGTTATCAAGATCATGAGTAAATTTAATTCTCTTACATTTAAATCAGTGTAAGCAGTGAAGATATTTATATTTTTGATAGCCACTTTGTTGTTTTAGATTTTCTCATACAATTTATCTTAACACAAACAATGATCTGACCCCTCTATTTTGTTGACTAAATAACAAAATCGGAAAAGAATAAATAAAAATTTGAAAGTATATTGTATTGATTAAATGAGGATTTTGTTTTTAATCAGACTTTTTTACATATTTTCAGCTTTCACCTCCTAATTCTGTTACTGAGAAGATGCGTGATTTATTTATAGAACAAGAAAAGGCACGCTACAAACTTAGGTTGCAGCATCTGACAGAAAGGGTTTGTATTTAGAAAGTGCACAATAGATTGATAATATAGACATAATTGTAGGGTGTACACGGAAAGGAAACACCTGACCTTGACCTCATTAGGCTGATTTTCATGGTTAATTGATCATGTGAGGCCATAGTGATTTTACACTTTTGGTTATAACAAGTAAAAGGTTAACTATATTCTGACTAGAGATTCATTTTGAGTGTTTCATGTCTTAACAAGTCATCTGACCTTGACCCCATTTTCTGATTTTATGTTTTCCTGATACAAAGTAATCAAGGAAGGCATTTTAGTAAATCCACTTTTGTCTACTTTTTAAAAATATTTTGAATGAGAAATATAACAAAGTTACAGTAAGCACATTCATAGAAATTACAAGCCTGTTTCAATGATTGAATCTGCTGTGACCTCCTTGGACTTTAGAAATGGTGTAAATCTATATTAACTGATGAGGAATAAAAAGACTGTTTTTGATTAGATAATTTTGCCTTGTTTGAAATAAATGGGATGTAAAACTGTATGCAAAGATGTTTGAGGTTAGAGAATTATTAACAAAATGATGATTGAACTAAATCAAATTTTGCTCAGTTTTGCATGTAAGATGTTCTGTTTAATGTCCAAACTTAAACAGTTTTCCAGCTAGATGTTTTTTTTTAGGTTGTGAAATATTTGCACACATGATTAAAGTATGCATATTGTCATGGTTATGATTTTCTTGTAATTCAAATATATTAATGCAAATGGACTTAGATGTGACTTAGTTATTTTTTGTTGGAGACAAACATTGATGTTGTTTTTTAAAGCAATTGCTTTTATGCCATCGCGTATGGCCATCTTTGTGATGCAAATCAGAGACTCCGCCCAGATCAAGCCATAGTATTTTGTTAAACAGGCTCCTGGTCTGTCATTCTGAAACACCTATATATGTTTTCTAATATAATACATAGCTTGAAACTTTTGAAAAACATTAGTGGATTTAAGAGGTTTCAGCATATGTTCTTGTAGATGTATTTTTGTATTTAGGGGACAACCGTTTGACTATAAAAAAAACATAGAAGTCCGAGTGAAAAAAAGTGCATTTTTATACCTGCGATTCCGTTCTCTGTTCGTACGATGTTTCAACAAAATATGGAATCATTTCTGTTGTTGATTTAGTATTGAAAATTTTACTGAAAGTTATCTCTTATTAAATACGGTTTTATATGTTTAATTGGTGTTTCTCTAAGAAAGAGGCCAGGTGCTCTTGTTCATTCATTAAATTATCGTTCATTCATAAATTTATCGTAAAATCAAAATCACTTCACAGGTTATATGTAGTGTCAAATGATTACCTGTAATCTAAAAATAGACAAACTTAACTGACCTATTTTGTTGATTTGTTTGCGCAAATAATTTAGCAGAACGAAACCCTTGTTAAAAACACATAACAATAAGTTCGTTTTCCTTTTTTGTCATAACTCCGTAAGATTTATCGATCACCTTACTAATGAAATGGACTCGTCAAAACGTGATAGATGCCAAGTCCAGATGAAGAGATATTTACAATTTGGAATTTTCTAGTTTCATAGATTGAAAAAAAGTACGTCCTTTTGGATATCATAATCAAAACTGGGTATGCATGACAAATGATGAAACCATAATCCTCGTCTTTCCAGTGGACGAGTCTACACGTGTGTTGACACTCGACGGTCCACAGTGTTTGCAATTTTATTTCACATGTTTTCGAAATATTGAAGATCATTTTTGGCAATGTTTCCTGAAAATTGATAAATATCAAAGCAACGAAGAGCTGTTTGTTCTTGTTTGTATAATGACGATTTAATGTCATGTTTGTCAGTGATGACCCCCCTTTTCGGGATTGCATGAGAATTATAGTTATCTCGTACCGCATGAGGATGACACATATCAACTGAGCAATAATGTTTGGGACTTAGTTTTAAGAAATGAAGAGAAAGTAACATTATGAAAATATTTTTAGTAAGCTGAAATATATATTTATTTTTTACATATTTATGTCTTGTAAGATATTTTATTTCTTTCCCGTTTTTCAACATTTGCGTCTGGAAAGTTGAAATGTTTTTATTGAATGGTTAAATTTAAATTAATTATGATAATTGTTAAAATTAAATCAATAAAGGAAATTATTACCCAGTTACAAACACTACCAGGGGATAATTTCTTTTTGAGTTATATGTTTCAGCACATGTAAATTTGACCCCAACTTTAGCCTGGTAAACGTGTTGTCTCCTTGTTAAATATAAAACATATCAAAAATGACTTTCTGCTAAAGTCTTTTATTGATATAAAGTTTAAACCTTCTTACTTCTCACTAGACAACACTCCTGTCAGGTTTAATTCATATATATATGTGGATGAAAAATAAAAGTCCCCAAAACATTAACATGGCAGCAATTGCTTTTACAGCCTTTAAGGCTTTGATTCTTTTTTGATACTAAGTTTTCTGATAAGGTTGATTTGTTTTTTATTAAAATAAGCTCATATGACAATAACTGCTACATATGCTTAATATATGTTTTTAAATGCAGTGAAACTTGACATGACCTTTGAGAGGAGAAAAATCACTGTACAACATGTTGATTTTATATTTTAGGAGAAACTAAGGTTGGCCTTAGAACAAGAGAAGATTAGAGAACATGGTCGTGCAGCACGAGCATCTAGTAATCAAAATTTACCACTTAGTGTATGTACATTGATGAAATACGATGACACTTGTAACATCAATGACTTCGATCAGGTTTGTTTAGAAAAATATATTGAATGTTAAATGTTTGTACCATAAATAGTTACATATGACTAATGAAGATGTGGGTATACATCAATGAGACAAAAAATAGTTACATATGACTAATGAAGATGTGGGTATACCTCAATGAGACAGAAATAGTTACATTTGACTAATGAAGATGTGGGTATACCTCAATGAGACAGAAATAGTTACATTTGACTAATGAAGATGTGGGTATACCTCAATGAGACAGAAATAGTTACATTTGACTAATGAAGATGTGGGTATAGCTCAATGAGACAAAAAAAGTTACATATGACCAGGCATGGGGCGAATTACATTGCAATGTAATGCATTATATTACAATTACTTTGACCAAACCATGCATTATATTACAATTACAATTACATGAATTTATCAAAGTAATGCATTATATTACAATTACTTTTGAAAAGTAATGCCTTGAATTACACATTACATTTGAAAATGTTATTAAGTGAATAGAAAAACTAAACATTTTGAAAAACAACTAGAAGTCACAAAAGATTCTAGCATATGCAGTAAATGTTCCATGAATTGAATATAAGTATACATGTAAAAAATCTATTTAATTCGACTTTTACAATTTTAATTATTTTAACTTAATGTTGACTTTACTTTTAAAAATATACTTTTTGTTGTTTTTTTAATTTTAAAAGAAATATTTAATTACTGCGAATTACTTCCCTAATTATAAAATAAACATAGACCTTAATTAATGAACAATTGTCTAAATGGTGAAAATATTGATTGTAAAACAAACTAATTAGTGTTTTATAACAAAGTTTAATTATCTTTTATTTAAACAAGACAAGATATTCTTTGATCTTATGACAACAATACAGTTATGCTTTTCAAATATCAATCTTTTTATGCAGGAAAATGTATGAAATAAGATGAAATAAAGAATATATTCTAATGATTAACATATTCTTAGTTAATCAAGAAATCTAAAATTTGGTTTAGTTAAAACTCCAACAATATGTTGTAGTATGTGAAAAAAGTAATGACATGTAATGCCATGTAATGCATGAAATTACACAACTTTTTGCTAAAGTAATGCATTATATTACAATTACATGTAATGCACAAATTGCTGCATTACACATTACATGCAATTACTTGGAAAAATGTAATTACAATTACAAATTTGCATTACCCCATGCCTGCATATGACTAATGAAGATGTGGGTATACCTCAATGAGACAAAAATGCAACCATAATCAATGTGAGGTCAAAATTAGAGGATTGACCCGTAGTTGTTTACATCCTTTTCCTATTTCTCTTTGGTAGATTGATGTCTCAATCATACCATATCTCCTTATTTTATATATTACATGATATTTATTTTTCACACATGTATATTGATAGGCCACAAAAGAATGTTTTACAGTCAATAGTTTATAGGGATTTCTGCCTATTGCTAAATTGATAACTTGTCCTTGTGCTGATATTTTTCTGAATTACATTACTGTTTGGTTTTCAAGAAAGTGTTGCTTGCTGTTACTGGTACTCAATTTAGAATGTAACATGATATGGTAGGCAACCAGTAGAAAATAATATTTCATTTGCTTTATACATATACTATGTAATTTTTTGACATAAAAGTAACACACACTGCACTATTTACTCACAAAAATGTAACTTTATTACAGTCTGATGAAAAGGAAAAGACATCACGCTCAAGATATAATGGCAGACAGTTTTTGTCATGGATTAAAGATGTCGAGGACAAATTCGAAAAAATTAAGGTAAAGTCAAAAACTGATTCCATGTTAATATATTTTAAGTGATTCTGTGTTTAAATGATAATATATTATATCCCCACTCTAAAAGTGGGGGCTATATTGCAATCACATTATCTGTCTGTCCTTTGTCCAACAAATATTTTTCGTCACACTTTCCTCAGAAACTTATTTTGTCAGCAGCTTAACAGTGATTAGTTGTAACATGTGTGCGCTTTTCAGATCTGACACCTTCTTTCTGTTTTACAATAAAAAGTGACTGAAATACACACCACATGGTGCTGTTGCAAACTTTCATATCATTTGAAAATGGGTAACCTTATTGATGCAAGTGCTACTAATGAAATTTGGTATAAAACAAAAGGTAAAACTTTCAAAACTATATCAATACTATTTCATCAAAGACAAGATGATGAATAGATAATATTATATGACTCTTTCAGTATTACACCGGTATTAACCAGAGACATTAGCAATTTCCAAAGACCTCTGTTCACTGGATTACATTGGTTTAGGGTTGATGCGGTGTGTGTGATATATATTGAAAGCCATATTATATTCACTATATCATACACCTAAAATAGATGATTTCATGTGACTTGAAAGACCAGGGGTTTTACAAAGCCTTTGCAATCTTGTCTGATATCGATATCATCATGTATGGCTGATACAGAACGATTGCCATTGATTGTATTACCTATTAAATCTATGTGTATTTCCTACTAGTATCTTGTATCTAATGAATTAAGTTACATCTACTATAAAAATAGATTGTCATTTTCATGAGTTTTAAGCAATAGGAAAGCAGGCTGAATGACTCTTCAAAGCAAGTAATGCTTTGTTCCTCCTTGGAAATGTGCATTGTCATTTTCAATCATATGGTACGAAAACTTTCAGTTCACCAAAAAACTTTATAAACGATAATAATGGAACAAAAAAGTACCAGTAAATTAAATGAAAAATGTATTTCTCTAATTTTTTCACTATTTTCACAATTCCCAACCGATTGTGAAAAAAGTGTTCTCCTCCCTAGTGAAATATCTGTTCTCGGCAAATGATTGGTTGAAATTTAATTACGACGTCAAATTTACTTGGTTTCTTCTGAATTTCCTATTGTGATGTCATGAAAAAAGGTGACCATGCCTGATGACATCACATATAAAGAACACAACTCTCTGCAAATCTTTGAAAAGGATGGATAAAAATCATAAGAGAAACAGTTTCCACCACTATAACTTGTGTATTATGATATTTTTCAACTCTCAACAGTTAAATTTTAATTATTTAAAAAGCTCACCAAGCCTCATACTTTAAATATTAAAATTTAACTGTCTCGAGTGGAGAAATAACGTTACAAACTTGTTGCAGTGGTGGAATCTTGTATGTATTACCTATAAAAGTATTTACCAAGCAATGAAAATTATGATGGTTTATCAAAACATGTAGGTACATGTATAAATTTTAGCATTATGGTATGATAATATATTAGCATCTACATGAAGAATTATAACAGCTGTGTACCTTTGTATTTAATTCTAAAACGTGATTCAGTGCATTTATTGTCATCAAGTTGTGCTTTGGAATGAGTTATTCAGGAATTTTGCTTTTTATACGACCGCAAAAAAATTTTGCGGTCGTATATTGGTATGACGTTGGCGTCGTCGTCGTCGTCCGATGACACATTGGTTTTCGCACTCTAACTTTAGTTTAAGGGAATGGATCTCTATGAAATTTTACCATACGGTTCAATACCACAAAAGGAAGGTTGGGATTGATTTTAGGGGTTATGGTACCAACAGTTAAGGAATTAGGGGCCAAAAAGGGGCCAAAAATAAGCATTTTTGTAACTTCTAGACATAACTTGTGTGTTAGTGTATGGATCTCTCTGAAATTGTACCACAAGGTTCCATATCACACAGGGAATACTGGGATTGATTTTGGGGGTAATTGCCTCAAAATATTAGGAATTAGGGGCCAAAAAAGGGGCAAAAAACAAGCATTTTTCTAGTTTCATGACAATAACTTGTTTGTAAGTGTATGGATCTTTCTGAAATTGTACTACAAGGTTCCATATCACAAAGGGAAAGCTGGAATTGAGTTTGCGGGTAATTGCCCTAAACGTTTAGGAATAAGGGGCCAAAAATAAGCATTTTTCTAGTTTCCAGACAATAACTTGTGTTCAAGTGTATGGATCTCTCTGAAATTGTACCACAAGGTTCCATATCACACAGGGAATGCTGGGATTGATTTTGGGGGTAATTGCCTCAAAATATTAGGAATTAGGGGCCAAAAAAGGGGCAAAAAACAAGCATTTTTCTAGTTTCATGATAATAACTTGTGTGTAAGTGTATGGATCTTTCTGAAATTGTACTACAAGGTTCCATATCACAAAGGGAAAGCTGGAATTGAGTTTGGGGGTAATTGCCCAAAACGTTTATGAATAAGAGGCCAAAAAGGGGCCAAAAATAAGCATTTTTTCTAGTTTCCAGACAGTAACTTGTGTTCAAGTGTATGGATCTCTCTGAAATTGTACTGCAAGGTACCATACCATAAAGGGAAGGCTGGGATTGAGTTTGGGGGTGATGAATCATAAGGGGGTTCAAAAAATTTGGGGGGGGAGGGATTTTTTTTCTTTCTTTTTTTCCTTTTTTTTTCCTTTTAAAATTTTCCATTTTAAGTTGGTTATTTCTGTTTTATATTTAAAAGCAAATAATAATGATATGGTAGGAGATACACACCAAACAGGATGTGTAAATTATTATATAATAAGTATTGTGCAATAGCAAGAAATTTTCAATTGCACAGTATTGCACAATAGCCAGAAATCTTCAATTTGCACAGTATTGCGCAATAGCAAGACATCTTCAATTGCACAGTATTGTGCAATAGCAAGAAATATCCAATAGCACAATATTGCGCAATAGCAAGAAATTGTCAATTGTACAGTATTGCGCAATAGCAAGAAATATTCAATTGCACAATATTGTGCAAAAGAAGATACTTCTTATAAATTGCTTATTTCTTGACCAATTTCAATGGGGTTTTATTCTTGAATTCTTGGGGTTCTTTAATATGCTGATTCTAACCGTGTATTAAGTTTTTGGATTTTGGGCCCCTTTTTAAATTGGTCCACATTGAGGTCCAAAGGGTCCAAATTAAACTTAGTTTGAATCCATCAAAAATTGAATTATTGGGGTTCTTTGATATGCTGAATCTAACCGTGTATTTAGATTCTTAATTTTAGGTTCCGTTTTCAAATTGGTCTACATTAAGGTCCAAAGGGTCCAAAATTAAACTTAGTTTGATTTTAACAAAAATTGAATTCTTAGGGTTCTTTGATATGCTGAATCTAAACATGTATTTAGATTTTTGATTATGGGCCTAGTTTTCAAGTTGGTCCAACTCGGGGTCCAAAATTAAACTTTGTTTGATTTCAACAAAAATTGAATATATGGGGTTCTTTGATATGCTGAATCTAACCATGTATTTAGATTTTTGATTTTTGGGCCCCATTTTCAACTTTGTCCACATTGAGGTCAAAAGGGTCCAAAATTAAACTTTGTTTGATTTCATTAAAAATTGAATTCTTGGGGTTCTTTGATATGCTGAATCTAACCATTTAGATTTTGGATATTGGACCATAATAGATGAATGTCCAATTTAAAATTTTTTAATTCTTAGACCACATTCATTCTGTGTCAGAAACCTATGCTGTGTCAAATATTTAATCACAATCCAAATTCAAAGCTTGAATGTTGTGTCCATACTTGCCCCAACTGTTCAGGGTTCGACCTCTGCGGTCGTATCAAGCTGCGCCCTGCGGAGCATTTTATTATGGAGTGTGATGGTAGCCCAACATGTCACAATAAAATATAATTATTACTAATCTAGCATTAATAAAATGTCGAAAATTTGATTATTTCAGAACGCATTATTACTACGACATCATAACGAGGCAGAATCTTTATTTGCTGTACAAAAAATGGACTGGGAATGTAAAATGAAAGAGTTTGGACTTTGTGACAAAAATCGATTGCCTGTTGTAGAAGAACTTCATGTTCCCATGGTCCAAGTTAATGATGATTTTGAATTGTTGCCTTCATAGTGTTATGTTACTTGTTAGTGTAATACATTGAACATTCAGTAAATGTTTTTTGAGAGTTTGATTTTTAATCTCTGTTTTATCAAGATAAAGATTGCACAAGTGCAATAAAATGCCTGTAATTGAATTGTTAGATAATTTAAGCCATCTGCCTTACCTTCATAATACATGAAGTGAACTGTCTTTAGATCCAATCCATACCCCTATCAAGCAATTAATTATTAATAGATACTTAGATATTCAGCATACTTGTGAAGTTAACCATGATATTAAAAATTACAAAAGTTGCAGAAAATAGAAATGGTTTTACCTGCAATTGTGACAAAGGGAGATAACTTAAAAATAAAAATGAAGCTCACATTGCAAATTTAAAGGCAATCTTTACACCCTCAGTTCTCACAAGTACTTTGATTTTTTCAAACTTTTTAATTGGAAATTTTCTTCCAGTACATATATGATTAGAAAATAAGATGTTTCAAGTTTCATTAAGATGAGAATTTTTAATACTCATTCTGAAAGTTAAATGGTGGATCGTTTCATGTAACTGTTAATACCATCAGTAAACCAAGCACTTGAAAAATCAATGCCATTTTTTTACATCAATTTTATTTTTGTACACCCCTACAGACACTTTTAATAACCACTCGGAAAGGATGTAAAACTCAATCCTTTGAGGAAAAAAAAACATTTACTGAATGCGTCTATAGGGCCTATTGTAATAACTTACTTCTCTCTCAGTGCTATATCTTTACAGAGTTTTATTTATTTCACATGTTTTAATTTTATGTGCATTTTTGCTTGTAAAAGTTACTCATTTTGTGAGCCATGAACACTTGAAATAAAACATTTGTTAGTTAAGATACATATATATATTTACCAATATATGGTATTATTTGATGCACATGCTTATTTCTGAAAACCAGTTACTAAGATAAAGGAGAAGGTATAAAAATACTATCTTTGTCCTAAATATTCATAAATATAAAAGAAAACACAATTTTAAATTTACCTATTTGTCTTAGATCCTGTACATTTTTTGCTTTTAGGCCTTCGTACGTCTTTATTGAATGAAAGAATGCAAAATTTTCCTTATTAGCCTCCATTTGAGATCTTTAATAATTAGATGTGAGTAACAATGTTACCTAAAATGATCATTTGTTGCACGATATTTTATACAAGATGTTAGAGTAAATAAAATATACTTTTGTGTAAAGCTGTTGCTCACATTTTACCAAAAATTGTGGACCCTGCTACTAGTTTAGGTTAAGTTAAATATGTCCATTTTGACATATGAATGAAGTCACAGTGACATCACAAATGGCATTTCTGAACTAAAGTGACCAGACTACATCAGCCTTTTCATTTGTTAATAAAATTACACAGATTTGAAAAGATTTTAGAATTTTTACTATTTTGGCAATCTCGGGGTCCAATTTATAATACCTTCTCCTTTCTCCATTCTATGTACTACATATGTCTTAAAACTTTATATTTTATGTGTATGCCCCATTAATACTTAAATAAAACAAAGGTTGTATTTGAAGGAAATAGTTTGGATAATTTAAAATCATATTTGTACTTGTGAAGTACCTACACCGTGTGAGTGGCTTTATAGACTTGCATTATATTATAGTTGTGATTATTTGAACCCTCAACTTATATTTTATGATGACAAGACCATGTAAAACATCTTGTTCCTAAATACTAAATTTTACATGAAATATTGCACTATTTCTCTTTATGCAAGTAAAAAAAAATATTGTTTCAATTCTATATAGCTTCACAAAACATTTAGAAAACATGAAAATAGGAAAAATTGTTTGTGACATCAGTAAGTAAAATGCTTTATTGTATTGTATTCACACAATTTCTTTGTATGAAGTTTAAGGGACAAATATGCAGTTTTCTGCCACACTGGAAAAGTATTAAGTTGTAGTAGCCATTACCAATATTTACAGTGAAAATCAGCTATTTTTTTGTAACAAAGAGTGATCAAATGTAACGTTAAATGTTTGATAATGATATACATTGTTATAAATTTAAGACAAAGAAAACGTTGTCTACTAATGTTTCTGTAAGACATTACTGCTCACACTTTGTACTTGCATCAGTATGCAGAATTACAAAAGAAAAGTACATTAGATTCAAAGGTGTAAAAGTCATATATTGTATAAATATTAAAGATAACACAAAATTTTTTCAATAAAAAAATATTGCTGATGCCTTTAAATTGAATGGGAGTTTTTGCACTGCTAGGTATTTTTGCTGTTGTTGGTTTAATGGTGTTTTGTCCATGCTATTTACAATATTTTTGAATATTTACAAGCAAATAGGAATTTTTTACATGCACAGGTTTATCTCTTTTCCTAATTTTCTGTTGTTTAATTTTGTTTGGTATATTTTAGTTGTTAAGAGTGTCTTCATTTGTTTAATGTCCTTTTGCCTCTTATGTATGTTTTTGTCTCAATTGAGTATTTAGGCTGATCCTCTATTAAATAGCAACGTCTTTGTGAAAGTGCACATGTTGATCCTTGAAACTTTCAGGATGCAGCCATTTAATCTAATTCTATTAAAAGAATCCAATTTTGATTTCAATCACAAGCTTCATGGCATTGCACAAATTTTCATTTTTTACCATCTTCATTACGAAATAAAGCTTCTAGGCCAAAATCTTTTATAGAAGGATTTTTTTAGTAAATGTCAAGTACATTTTCATTTGGGAAAGCAATTTCAACAGCAATCATTTAATTCCTCATATAAAGATTATTTTTTCAGTGCTAGATTTTTAAAAACCTCTGATGAGAAACATTATTTTTAATATAATAACGGATTGAGTGGTGTAATATATTGACAATCTGTTGTAAATCATGTAACAAAGACATCTATAATTATTGTTGTATAAAACTTCATTTTATGTAAATAATCTAGTGTTGTAAAAAGAATTATACCTATGACCCAAGGTCACTAATCTTCAAAGTGCAAGGCCATTGTCTCATGCTGTATGGGTCATGGTAATGTTATGTATATATTTTGCTTGCATCTCATCCTTGTACAGTCTCATCATTGTCATATTGCATAAGGTTTATAAATAGTCACATATCAAACAGACAAGTTAATTTTGCTTGTAGATATTATGCTTTCCTTGAAGCTATTTGGACCAACTTTAATCTGTCTTTAGACATTTTCCACATATGATATATAATGGTAGTGTTTTGATTGCACATGAAATTAGTATTTCTATTTCAAAACTAATTAATATATTTTTTACATGTAAGGTTCCACTTTTGATTTTTGGTTCATTGCCTCTATTAGAACATGGCTTTATTTTTTTGAAAATATCGAAATTCTAGCCCCTTTCATATGATTATTTTCAGTATTAGTTGATTGAAGACTTTTCAGGAAAATGTTAAAAATTTAAGACAATTATGTAAAAATTTATCCTTCTTTAAAAAACATACTACAGCTATGTCTGGTTACTTTGCCTATTTATTTGATTGCAACAAAATTAATCCATAAAATGTAGATCAAGTTAAAGAATGCATGAATATGATATGATTTGTTTTGTTTTAAGTAAGTATCAACACTTTCTAAATTACCACAATAGTTATTTGAAAAAAACACAGATCCAAATATATATATATTTACAATTAGCAGCTCTGTCTTTAGTTCTGAATATCTATGTTTACTAGAAGGGAAGATGACCTCTTGTCTTAACATTTTTCCTGTCACTTGAAGAAAATTTGACTGATTCTTAAAAAGGAATAAAAGATCAAATGAGTCCCGATTTAGTGTCTTTGGGGACAAAAGAATCAAAAAGAAGGAAACTGTGTACTAAACAACAGTTCCAAACTAAATATTAAGTGTCATCCTTTGTCAAGGTAGACAATTCAGTTCATAAGCATTTTGAAATTTTGCAAATGTTTTCTCATGTACAGGTGATAATTTGTAACAAAAATAAGAGCAAAAAGAATTGACTCGACTTTTGTTGGTAGCAGCTGATCAACCATTTCTTAAATGACTTGTATTGTATTATCTTATCATGTGACTACACAGATCATATGCTTCCTTCATATTATGATCATGTGACTATTTGTTCTAGGAACTTCTGTAAATCTATTGTACTTGTGAACAAACCGAATGGTAAATAAATAGATAAAAACCTTAGTATATGTGTTTTCTTAGCCCGTCATACCTAATTTAAGAGACAAATATTAAGGAGATATTTGCACCACTTTGTGTCCATCATAGTTCTGTTAAAAGAATAGGTCTTGATACTGACACCGAGTATTACAAAAATGATTTCAAAATGGGTACTATTGTTAATTTGTTGGTAATTATATCCCACTTGTGTATTGAATGGTTCTTTGTGATGTCCTTTGGTCTCAAAATTTTCGTTGCATATTAATCAAAATATATATAAAGGAAAGATTTGATATTTGGTCTAGTACTTCTTTATGTTGTATTATACCCTGTATTTCAGATCATCAGGAAGTACAGTTCTTTTGACAAATTTTTGATATACAGACTGAGCTTGGAATATACTCTTACAATATTCTTAGGAAAAACCAACCACCCACAATTAATATATGTTGAGTGCTTCCCATCCCCCCATTACAATCAAGTTTGGGATAGCCCTTACATCATTCTCCAGTCCTGTACAATGGAATGATGGGATATTTTATAAGGACATTTTTAATGTTGAGATGTTCCGGATAAGCAAGTTTAGGATCTGTTGAACAGTTACTTTCTGTTTAACTATACTTTGAATGTTTGTAATATCCACATTGTTTGCTACATTATTCATAGTTTCTGTTTTATGGAATAATTTGGTACCCGGATTATTTTTAAATGATGAGATGTTCGATGTAAGCTATTTTTCAGATCATCCTCTGCCAAGCAGTTATTTCATGTTTAATACTTTGAACTTTATTATACCCAATGAGAATAGACATTTTCATCAATGTATAATGATGAGTAGGGCTATACTCTTCGTTGTTGCTAGTCAACCAAGAAGGCCATTTTGGCTTGCCTAGTTTTAATGAAATTTCATTTTGCGAGACATAAGGATGCTAATATAGCGAGGGCATAAACTATTTGTGAAAAACTCTATATTTTAGAAGGTGGATGACCTGGATTCTTCAGACCTTCTAAACGGATACCTCATGTTCTGAAGCTTCATGTTGTCATATGTCAAATGTCCTTGACCTCATTTACATGGTAAAGCAACTTCTTAAAAAACTTGTTTCTTGTTTGAATTTATCACTTATGAGTTTTAGGATAACTAGATTCGGTATATGGGATCCTTGCAAGGTCTACATTTCTGTCAGACAGGTCTCACCTGACCTTGACTTCATGTCATGAATCTGACCGAGGTTTAATTTTTGTTGTCAAGTGCATATCTCAAATACTATAAGCAATAGGTCAAATATATTTGGTATATTGAATGAATGTAAGGAGTAAATGTCTGCTGCAGGGTTCATCTGACTTTGACCTCATTTTCACGGTTCATTTGTTAACCGTAAGTTTTTGTGGCTATGTCCTGTTCTAGGCTACTAAAGCAATATATCAACAATGTTTAGTGCATGGAATGATTGCAAGTTGTACATGTCTGTCTAGCAGGGGTTATCTCACATTTTCATGTTGATGATTGATTGGTCAATGTTATAATTTCGTTGTCAGGAGCGTTTCACAGATACTGTAAGGATATGGTCAATTAAATTTGGTGAATTGACTTATTGTAAGGTGTACATGTGTCTCTAGCAAGGTTTATCTTACGTCAATGTTATGTTTTGTGGTTGCGTCTGGTTCATAGATGCCATAAGCATTAGGTCATCTATATTTGGTGAATTGAATAGTTGTATAGTGTACATGTCCGTGTGACAAGGTTCATTTGAACTTGACCTTATTTTCTTGGTTAATTAATCAATTGCTTAATGGTAAACCAAAGTACAATGGCATGAAGAAATATGATGAGTTTATTTATATACAAATAAATTAACATACACAGTATAAAATATAAGTATTCATGTAAAGTAGATACATTAAGTGGTTACACAGGGAATTCTTGGCATTCAATACTTGCCGAACATTCCAAAATATAATGAAACTCGTCACCAATATCACCGGAATCGTATTTTGCCAAGACGAGCCAATGAGGCGCTTATTGAAAAGTTTCCCGAAGTTCTACTCATTGATGCCACTTATAAACTGAATGAGCTTCGTCTGCCTCATTTTGTGCTAATGTCTGTCGATGGAAACGGCGAGAGCGAGGTTATAGCATTTTGGATAGCTTCTGACGAATATATACTACTGAGAAGCCAGGAATACCAAAAGACGAACGTATTCTTGAATTTTTTCAGAAAATGGCATATACTAGGTCAGAAGACAGCTATTCAGAATTTTACCAAGAACTGAAAGACACAAAGTTCGAATCGGTTATTAGGTAAATCGACTGGCACCCAATTAGAACGGAATGGATAGGACTTAAAGATAATACTACGAGCTTAATAAACAATACAAACAATCGTGATGAATCTATCAATCAAAAATTAAAAGGACTGATATCCAAATTTTCCAATATCACGAATATCGTCCCATTTTTCGATGATTTGATGAAAACCGTGAAATCTTTCCGAACTGAGAGGGATTACAGACCTTTATAAGATAAGAGCACGTACTATCGCCAATAAGAATGAAATTATGATCACAAAACATCTGGACGATGAAAATGAAAATCGGTTCATCTTCAGCTGAATATTGTTGACACCTGTCGGCAAATGTCTAAATCAATTGCCTTCACAAATAGTCCTGGACTATTGTTTTATTTTTTCCGTTTCAGCCATGCTAAGTAGGACATGAAAAGCCGAGTTAAACATAACAGCAGTGATGGACGGAATAGAGATAATATAAAAAGACAACATAAAACAACACCACATGTTTCCGACAAAAAGTTTGGACAAACATATAAATAAAACAAGAATCAAAAAACACTTTTCACCTGAAACATGGCAGGCATTGAATGCTGATATAACTTCACAAAGAGAAACTGAGAGTCCAACTGTTTATTTTGCAAAACCGACGTGCATATTGCGGCGTCACTCGTTTGTGATGGCTCCACCAAACATGCGTCGGACTTAAGCACATTCTGGATGTGCAGAAGCTGCCATTGTAAATTAAATATATAATCTGTATGCAATATTGTATCATTGATTTTTTTTAAAATAAAATTTTTCAAGTTGTATTTCAATTTATTACATAAATACGGGACATACTATATTACTATTCCCAGCATACATTTAAATGCATTAACGTAAAAATAACACATCGTTACCTTAATTAGACACAAATATTATTGTTACGTTCGTAAGAAATCGGTGTTCATAATACAACTAACATTCCGGCAATAAGGGTCCAACGTAGCAATTGTTACGTTGCTACGTTTGTATTTAGTCTAGAAAATATATTTATCTTGATTATATTTCTGAAAAGATTACTGTCAACAAAGTTATGATAAACAATGTTATTGTTATGATGCTCAAAACGACTATTGGAAAATTTATGAAAGTTTCCTTATTACAGTTTAGTTCTGTAGGAGACATACTTAGCAGCTGACGTCCACGGACGTTTGAGGGATTTACACACTCTAGCGACCCTAGGTAGTCATAAGCTTTTGGCATAGTCTTTGAAGATAGATATTCCATTACTTCAATTATTCCACAGTCACATAAGAATGGATTTTCAGTGATGTCGACTTTAGCAAATTCCTGAGTTGAGAACGAGTCAATCATACCTTTTGTTAATGAAATTATCTTATTACGCCTCATATCTATTATTCCGACTGATTTTTGTCTCTTTCATGGTCATTCCGTAATCTCGTATCATTGGAATAACTTTTATTATTGGAAAAGTCCATATATTCCATCTTTGTGAATCGTAGTCGCCAGCCTTGTAGTTTATAAATAGTGTTATACATACCATTTCCAGAGAAATTAAAAATATTGAGATTTTCTGCTACGTCTGTATGAACTATCTTATTGATAGTATTTCTCGTCATATCCATCACTCCGCTTATTTCAAAAACCTCAAGGTTGTTGTACAAACAGGTTCTCTTCTGAATGTTAAAGTATTTATTAAAATTCGTCAGTGCAGTGCTGAAGTCATACAACTGATAGTTTTGGACATCTTCAAATTGCACCTTTTTCCCCCTTCGAATTATGGAAAAAGCATTTTCCGGTCCACATTCTTCAGCTCTTGTTATAGGCAAGTCAGCTTTTGATATTGAGTCATATGTTTCTTTAATACTTAGAATAGTTGTAATGTTTTCCATTTGTAGATAATTTAATGTGTCGGGAATGCTGTCTATCAATGGATTCTTGTATTCAGTTCTGTAATCCTTAATTCTGCAGTCTTTGATATAAATTGTATGTAGTTTGTCTGCTCTGAGTGGCCAAGGAAAGTGTATGATACCATCTTCACATGTGTTTTTTGTGGGGTTCGTGTTGTTTAGTCTTTAGTTTTCTATGTTGTGTCATCTGTACTATTATTTGTCTGTTTGTCTTTTTATTTTTGGCCATGGCGTTGTCAGTATGTTTTCGATCTGTGAGTTTGACTGTCCCTCTGGTATCTTTCGTCCCTCTTTTTCAAATCTGATATTGGATGATATTGTATCGGTAAAACTTCTAAATTCTAATAACTTTATACTAGAATTACCTATTATAATACACACAATATCAAAGTCAGTGTGACCTGTTTGTGATATATTACAAAGCCTTCTCCAGTTCTTTAGGCTTTCAAACTCATTCATAACATCAGAAAAATTGGTAAATGTTTCAAAGAAACTATTCTTCTGCTGCTGTTTTGTCACCAAATTATTATTCCTTTCAGTTGTCTTGGTAAAGATATTTAATGCAAGTCCAATTCCAAGCAAATGACAAATGTTAAGAAATGTGAGATCATTTTTCATTCTGAACTGTTGTCCACGACTGATATTACTATGTATATATGATCCCGGAGGTAATCTAGATCCTTATGAACTAAACAAGAAGAACAACTTTAATATTTTTCAGCGAATAGCATTCTGTAATTCGTTTGTTTCCTGCATAACAAATACTTAAAGTATAAAATTAACTTATAAAAAAAAGGATAATGATGGTGTAAACAAACTT